CCACTCTAGGTTATGACAACAGCTTCTCAAATTGTACATAGACTGAATTTTTACTCTTGGCCTTTCGGAAAGTTTGACATCCCAACCCGAGATTACGAAGATACATTATAATATATAAGTAGAATCTTAAATTTAAATTTATGAAGAAAATCATGAGATTTTTGAATTAAAGCGAATAATACTTTATAAGTTGAATATGAATTTTCACAAATAATATTAGAACAATCACCAATCAAACATGAACTAAGCATTATATAATGAGAATCACCTCTAAAATTCCAAAAGAGTTAAGTGTTAAATGATGGAAGTCACCTCTAAAATCTCAATTTCTTGTGTGATTATGTGTGTTTGATTTTGGTTCTGTGATTCTTATATACAATTATCTAATTCTGTCTATACTTTATGTTGGCCTCTCCTCTGCGAATTTCTTCTTCCACTCTAGGTGATGACTAACAGCTTCTCAAATTGTACATAGACTGAATTTTACTCTTGCCCTTTTGGAAAGTTTGACTTGAAATCAATCAGAAAAGAGAGCAAAGATGCTTTGGGAATCATACCTGATAACTATATCACTAACTATAGGTTTTTCTACATTTCTAAGCAGGATAATTGTACATTATTGGCCCTGTTAATACATTATTTGACAGCTTCTTTATTTTCCTACGTAAGATAGAGCAGAAATTCAAAAAATAAGAAGGAAAAAAAGGGAAAAACAAACTTGTGAGTTGCTTAACAATTGAGTCAAGTAATCATACATCCTAAGGAAAATGAGAAACTCCCCTATCCCTATTCTCCAGGTGTGACCTCTTTGGTAAGGGAAAAAAAAAACTCTGGAACTGTTTGAAAGACTAACAAGTCCAAACCAATCCAGGCAGAGCAGCTTTTACTTTTCAAGTACAGAAGGCATGAGGAAGCTACTTAGCTACATTCAATCAGACTTGAACTGATGCCAGAAGGATATATTAACGTTTGGTTTCACAGATTAACTACATTTACTATCCATTTCAGTCAGAAAAAAATTCAAAAATAGCCGCGGAGATCGAACGAAACGCAATATGATTGATCCATGCCCTCTCTCCTATGATATTCCTTTTCTTTAAAAAAAAAAAAAATCAGATGTTGAAAATGAAGGAAATGTTATGATGAGACTGTATTGTAAGTGGACCTCCCTCAAAGACTTGGAATGAAATTTATATATATAATATGGATTGTAAATGTTTGTAGCGGTGGATGGCATTCCATGATAACGACCAAATTGAGACTGCTGATATCTATTGTCTCAAAGAAAAATCAATTAATAGTAAAAAAAAAAAGGAAGCGTGACAAGGGAACAAGATTTTTTTGTGCCTAAATGTATGCATCTTATAAATTATTCTCAAAATAACTACTTTCAACAAGCATCAAGTGAGAATATTATGAGCATCTGTTGATATTTCTTCCAATGTTATAGCATCCTAATGATTATAGCAAAGCAAGAACGAAAAAAAAAAAATAATCAAGGCAAAAAGAGGACTGACACTTGAACAATATCAAATAATTAAAGATAAAAGCAACAGAAATTGTGGTCTGACACAACCCCCGATTCCACTTTTAAAATGCAGTGGCATGGCTGCACCTTTCATCAGCAACATATCTAATCAACAACAGGTCGTTACTAAGAAATAATCACGTTGGCAAGCATAGAAGTCATTGTCGGTATTCCCAACAATTTAGAAATATCATTTGTATATAATTTAAAAGAGATTATTTATATTATTTAAATAATTAAATTAATTATTTAAGTTATTAAAGTAAGAGCTGAAGTGAATAAAATTATTTAAGTTTATTAAAAAATATTTTAACGAGTCAAATAATTTTTAAAATCAAAGATCGGACATTAAAATTTATTTAGTAAATAATTTTATTTTTATTTAAATTTTTTACTTTTTTAAAATTTTGAAATTAATAAAATATTATTTTATTCTGAATTAATATACTTAAAAATATATATTTATATATATAACTATTTGAATTAGTATGTTTGAAAAAAAAAAACATGAATGTTTAAATAAATTTATTTGGATAGAAAAATATAATAACATAGATTATCATAACTTTTTAAAAAGTTTATAACTATTGATTTATTATAAATAAGATTTGGCAAATCTATTACAAGCGCTGCAAACCATTCATTCACTCATAAAATTTCTGGAAGGTAGGTAAAGGGAAAGAGTTGGATAAAATCAGGCAAATAAATCAAATGAAACACGCACAGCATTCATGAAATGCAAGATTTTTAGTGCACCACAAGTGTCACGTGTGTCAGTTTTCTCCGACATTATGATGGCAGCATCAGCAATGGCATTGCTCAAGCATGCATCAACTCGAGGTTTTGACGAATTTGCTCAACAGCTATGAGTGCACTGCCACTGCATCCAAGACTCTCGAACAAGTGAAAAAGAGAGGAAGAAGTTATTTTATTCAACTGGCAGAGCAATGTCAAAATTCTGATTCAAATAATCAAGCAAAAATCTAGCATCCCACTTCAAAATTCATTGAATATGCTTATGGTAGACAGGTTTAGAAACCAAGTTTTTCTGGTACATAATAGATTGATAGAAATGTTCATTTCCTAACTAATATGACTGAGGGCCCGTTCGGCAGCCTTCGGCATAGTGCGGTTGGTCTGATTTTGTTCCAATCCCAACCAAGCCGAAGCCTCCATTGGGCTAGTCAGGCCCTCGTGGCGTGGTTGGACCAGCTCTACAGGTCTAGACCTCCAGTGGCTGCTCCAAAAGTGCCATTACTGGAAAAGTCCAATAAGCCCAATACGCTGGATTTGTATTCACTGTACTCTTCCATTTATGCCATTGGTTTTTATTTCTATTTTTCATTTTCACCCTTCAAATTTCAATCGTCCCATTTTGTCTACGCTTTAGTTATTTTTCCTTAAATTTTAATACTTAGACAAATAAATATGTAATAATTATAATAAAAATTTTGGTATATAAGGTCATTATTAATTTATCATTTCTAAAAACAAATTATTTACTAATTAATATATCAAAAATTATGAATCTCCATATCAAATTATTAATTTTATTATTTATCATTATTTTTAATCTTATAACAATCAATTTTACCTTACGTAGAACAATCCCAAGTCAATTGAACCGTTAGCTTCACCTGTCACATTTCCTTCCCTTTAGGGTTTTTTGTATACTATTTATCCTTCATGAATCATGATGTAGCATATTGATTTAATTTTAAATATTGTATTTATAAATAACATGGCTTGTAGTAAAATTGGTAGGTTGAATCTTTAAATTTTTAAACTTTGTATTTATGAAATTTTTCATATCATAAACAATAAAAATATAGAGGCAAAAGTATATGCTCCAATAACATTAAAAATTAGAGGTCACAATTGGTCAACACAAATCATTTCGATTAAGATTGAAAGAAATTTAGGTAATTTTGGATTGAATCATTTTTAGTTTGGATTAATTTGAATTTAGATAATTAATTTTTGATTTAAACTATTTTAAATTCAAGTCATTTGAGTTGGACAATTAAATTAATTGAGTTTGAATCATTTCATGTTCAAAATCGTTAATTTTAAATTTAAATCAAATTTAGATAAATTATTTAGAACAAATCAAATTTTATCAATCCAAATTATATATTTGAAATAAAATTTTATCAACTTGGGTTATACCTCCAATTTCAATTTTTGATTTCATAAAAATAAAATTTTCAAAAAATCATTTCATCTTACATAAAGACAAAAAAACAAATGAATTTTTAAGTCATTTACTAATTTAGAATTATTTTATATAAAAGATTAACAATTTACTTTCAGCGTTGGCTATTGTTAGTAATTCAATTTCTGAAAAATTTCAAACCTAAATTCATGTGTTCTTTTTTTCATGTTAAAAGGACACTACTAAACTTACTCACGAGTTAGCAAAGTTAGAATGTCAGGTTGCATGATCAGATTTCTTCTCAGCCATTGATGGTAAATTAAATCCTAGCAAGTTTTATAGCGAAGAAGGCAGCATTTTGCTGCTTGATTAGGTATTATGCAGCCTGCAGGTACTCTTTCGAGCTGTTTTTTTTTTTTTTTTGAATAGCACCCATTTGAATAACCCCGTCCGATTTCTGATAAATGATTTACCATTTGTTCTAATTTGAATTTTGATAGCCTTGTAATGCTGCACCACTGTCCTTTGCAGAACAATTGCTTATGGTCCTTTCTTCCTATTTATCATCACGATGGTCCTGAAAGGACACACTTGAAGCCAAGACATGTCGACTTCAATGTTTTTGAAGTTCATTGTAGTGTTAAATCTACTCTCTCTGACTTTCTTTTCTGAGCAATCACAGGTATTGATCATGAACATGGAGTCAAAAACATTGGTCAGATCAAAGTCCATTCATAGATTTTTCTTGTGTCTTTCCTTTGCCTCCATTTTTCCACCTGCGAATTCACCAATACATGTATATTTTTAATGGGTTTTCTTGTTCTCTCTTTCAGCTTACAATTTGCTAAGTCATGAGAAAACACTAGGACTTACCAGCTGCTAATATACCAAAAAGAAAGGACGAAGGATAATCTGCTCAAAGTGTGGAACCTAGCAGAAATGCTTCACAAAGGGCATTGTTACCATTTTCATAAGGTGGACTGCATGTATAGATTAGCTCTTGATCCCTGGTGACTAATATATTATTTTTGTTGGCTATCAGCTGGATGAAGTGTGAAATTGGGGTGTTTTTGTTTTTATCATTCTACTCGATAGTGTTGCTTTCAATTCCTGATATAACAAGTCTTTTGCATCCTCACCTGTGTAGTGTATCCTGTTTTGATCTTGGTTGCAACATCTGCTGCTGTATTGATAGTTTACTTTTATAAACTCAGGAACATTTTAACTGATTTTAAAAAATAACAACTTGAACTAAATGAATTTGCAATTTGAAATGACATGCATTAAAATTATTAAAAACTAGTAAATGAATCCTTCTTAGAATGTTGGAGCGAAAGCTTTTTATTTCATTGTTATGTTTGAACAATTTATATGTACAAAGTTTTCATTTTATCACTCTCAAACCACACCTAGTACATTACATAAGTACCACTCAGGCAAAAAAACAGAGCAAAAACAGAGGCAACACTTGCGAATTTCATATGCAGAACATCCTATAAAATCCCAATGATGAGAGACTTAATCCACTTCCTCAATCTTTGGTCCAGTACCAGTACCACTAGACCCGGCTTTGCTGTATCCGCCGTGCTTCGGCATCTCAGCACCACCCATTGGCACATCTCCACCACCGCCTTGATACATCTTTGAAATGATTGGATTGCATAACCCCTCCAATCCCTTCAACTTGTCCTCAAATTCATCAACTTCTGCCAATTGGTTCCTGTCAAGCCATTCAATAGTCTCATCAATGGCCTTCTCGATCTTCTGCTTGTCTGCGGGGTCTAGTTTTCCAGCAAACTTCTCATCTTTCACGGTGTTCCTCATACTGTACGCGTAGTTCTCAAGGGCATTCTTCGCCTCCACCTTCTTCTTCACATCCTCATCCTCTGCCTTGTATCTCTCTGCTTCTTGCACCATTCTTTCTATTTCTTCCTTGCTCAGTCTTCCCTTGTCATTGGTAATTGTGATCTTATTCTTCACTCCTGCAGTCTTATCCTCAGCAGAAACATTCAAGATGCCATTTGCATCAATGTCGAAGCAGACATTGATCTGAGGAACACCTCTTGGTGCCGGTGGGATGCCTGTAAGCTCGAATTTGCCAAGCAAATTGTTGTCCTTGGTTCTAGCCCTTTCACCTTCATATACTTGAATCAACACTCCAGGCTGATTATCAGAATACGTTGAGAAAATCTGCTCTTTCTTGGTGGGAATCGTTGTGTTCCTTGGAATCAAGACTGTCATTACACCACCAGCAGTCTCAATACCAAGGCTAAGAGGCGTGACATCAAGAAGAAGCAACTCTTGGACCTTTTCATTCCCTTCACCGGTCAAAATAGCCGCCTGAACAGCAGCTCCATAAGCAACTGCTTCATCAGGATTTATGCTCTTGCAAAGTTCCTTGCCATTGAAGAAATCTTGCAAAAGTTGCTGAACTTTAGGAATCCTTGTCGACCCACCAACAAGAACAACCTCATCAACCTTACTCTTATCAATCTTGGAGTCTCGAAGACATTTCTCAACAGGCTCCATACACTTCCTAAATAAATCCATGTTCAACTCCTCAAACCTCGCTCTTGTAATAGTAGAATAGAAATCAATACCTTCATAGAGCGAATCAATCTCAATGGTAGTTTGAGTAGTCGAAGAAAGAGTCCTTTTTGCCCTCTCACACGCAGTCCTCAGCCGCCTCAAAGCCCTTGCATTGCTACTAATATCCTTCTTATGCTTCCTCTTGAATTCCTGAACAAAATGGTTGACCAGCCTGTTGTCAAAGTCCTCACCTCCAAGATGAGTATCTCCAGCAGTAGCCTTAACTTCAAAAATCCCTTCCTCAATCGTCAACAATGAAACATCAAAGGTACCCCCTCCGAGATCAAAAATCAAAACGTTTTTCTCGCCAGACCTTGAAGCTTTCTTGTCCAAACCATAAGCAATTGCAGCAGCCGTTGGCTCATTGATAATCCTCATAACATTAAGCCCTGCAATCGCTCCAGCGTCCTTTGTAGCCTGTCTTTGGGAGTCATTGAAATAAGCAGGAACTGTGATAACCGCATTTTTCACGGTTTGGCCCAAATAAGCCTCGGCAACCTCCTTCATCTTGATCAACACCATAGAAGAAATTTCTTCAGCGGCGAACTGTTTCTCTTCACCCTTGTATGTAACCACAATCATTGGCTTATCACCAGGGCCAGCGATGACCTTGAAAGGCCAATGCTTCATGTCGCTTTGCACTGAAGGGTCAGAGAAACGACGACCAATGAGACGTTTAGCATCGAAAACAGTGTTCTGAGGGTTCATGGCGACTTGGTTTTTGGCCGCATCGCCAATGAGCCGCTCGGTGTCAGTGAAAGCAACGTAAGAAGGCGTGGTTCTGTTGCCTTGGTCATTGGCTATAATCTCCACGCGGTCGTTTTGCCACACCCCAACACAGCTGTATGTCGTCCCGAGATCAATCCCAATTGCCTTGCCTTCAGCTTTGGCCGCCATTTGTTGAAGAAAAAGAAGACAAGAAAAGTAGAAAACTGATAGTTTGATTGAGTTTGGAGAGATTTCTGTGAGCTTTAGTCGAATGCTTTGAGGAACTTGTTCTGGTTAGAGATTGGGTGGGGAACAAAGTTATATATAAGGGATTGGAATTATGAAGAAATTTCCAGAGGAGAGTAGAAAAAAGGTGAAACCAAAGAAGAAAGGAAAAGAAGGTGGAGAATTCTGGAGAAGGGGATCGATGAGTTGGTTAAATTGGATTCTAGAACAACGTGTGGAGTTAGCAGCCAATGGGAAGGTTCCGAAACGTCAGTACTCGGTGGGGCCATGCCACCAAAGGAAATGCACACGTGGCGACGCGGCTAAGGTATATTATTATTGCTGCTGTTGGGCTTTAGATTTTGGATACGAAAATGTTATTTGGGCATCACATGTAAAAATCTCCAATGGAAATGCACATGACATTTTTTTTTATTAAGTAGAGAATAGATGAAAAAGAAAATATGATTAATGTGAATGATTTCATTGGAAAAAGTAGTGAATAAATAAGAAATTTATATCAATAATAATATCAATGTGAATAAAAAAATTTAATTGATATATAAATATAGTGAACATTATTTTAAATTTTATATTTATTTTATATTATGTTACAAATAGAATATACTTATATACAATTTTTTAAATAAATTTGAACAAAAAATTATATGATTTTAGTTATTAATAATTGAATCAAATTTCTGAACGAATAATTTGATAATATAAAAATTAATATATATTTTTTATAACACCAATATTAATATACATAGTTAATAATAAAGCATAAATATTTTTAAAAATAAATATATAAATTATGTAAACAGTACATTAATGATATAAACAATGTAAGTTATAATAAACTACTGTTAATATATTTTTTATTTTTATTTTATTTTATTATTAATATGAATATCGTTATTAATACATATTAATTTTTTAAATTAATATATATTTTTATAACACCAATAGTAATATACATAGTTAATAATAAAGCATAAATATTGTAAATATATATTAATTATGTAAACAGTACGGATATAAACACTGCAAGTTATAAATAACATACTGTTAATTATTTTATATTTTTATTTTATTTTATTTTATTATTAATATGAATATCGTTATTAATAACATATAATTATATTGATATTCACGGTATATTAATATTTAAAAATACGATAAAAAGTTTTTTTTGGTTAGTAATATTTTCGCAAGCATCGCACAGCGAGTCGTTACATTCCCTCGCCGTCTGACCGTGATTGGAAAAAATGGAGGACAAATCGATTCTAAGGGAGTGGTTCGAGCGAGTTGACTCAGAGAAAACCGGAAGCATCACAGCAACACAGCTCAAGGTCCTTTTTATTCTTCTTCATTCTCGCTATATATATATATATATATATATATATATATATATTTCATAATCTAAATTTGCTGATTTCGCTTTGGGAAAACAAAAACCATCAGAGCGCTTTTGCCATTGGAAACCTTGATTTTCCTCTCTCCGTCGTCCAACAAATGATCAGGTCCTTTTCCTTTTTATTTTCTTAATACTTTTATCCGAATTTCATTTTATTTATATATTTATTTATATTTCATTTCGCAGGATGTATGATTTTGATAGAAATGGTACCATGAGTTTTGAAGGTAAAAAGTCGAATTGTTTTTTTCTATCCTGAAATAAATAATTTCTTTCCATTTCAATCTTCCATTCTATTTTTTTTCTTTTTTTTTTTAATTTCTCGATTTTTTTTGTTGCTAAGGATAGAATTTCTCGCCCTCAACACATTCCTCATCAAGGTTAGTGGACTACTTTCTACTTTCACAATTGAAATTCAAACTGGTATGGTTTCGGATTATTCTTTGGAAGCTTCTAATTCGAACATTGTTGAACTCGTTGTTATAGTTTTGAGTTAAATTTCTTCTTCTAATTCGTGCAAAATGATAGGCAGATCATGAAAAGCTGTATACAAAGGTTGTGTTAACATTTAGAATTATTGGATTTTATTTGATTTCTCTTGGTGATTTTTTCGGCAGGTCCAGCAAGCCTTCGCAGACTTGGAGAGGTAACTTGCTACCTTATGGATTTAATAAGCCACGGTTTTTTTTTTTTTCCTTTTTCTTCATTTTGCTTTATCATTAGGGTCAGAAAATAATGAACATAAGGATGCCATTTATATTCAATAGATGCTGCGCCGTGTAATTGATGTTTTGAATTACATCATGTTTGAGGCAATACTTGGTTGCAATGATGATGAACACTTTTAAGCTTTATATGTTATTATTATTTTTTTTTATCTAGCTGCCAACTAAGGCACGATCTACACGCTTCCTATATCCCTTCTTCACTTAAAAGTACTTAAAAATCTAGTTACTTTGTTGTTCAATGTTACAGGAATCGTGGATTCCTTGGCACTGATGATGTTTATGAGGTACTTTATGAAGGTTTTGACCAATATAAAAAGTTTCTTTTGAAATTTAATCTTATGCATCACATCTAGATTTTGAATTGATATTGGCTTTTTTTTTTTTTTAATTTTATTCTCCTTCAGTTTCCTTCCCACTTGTTATGGCTACTCATTATTGAACTCTTGTTGCAGGCACTAAACAAAATGGGATTTTCTTTGGATTCTCCTGCATTTTACACAGCTTGTGAGGTAGGATATAATTTGACATTATAACAGAGAAGTTGAGTTTTTTTTTTGTTTCAGAACATAGTACTAAGTTAGTGCTAAGAACCTGAATTTACTGTGTGGTATGTTTGTTCTAGAATTTGCAGTATCTCATGTATCTCATATGTTCATATCTGTATATGTATTTTGAATATTTAGTAATGTCCATTCATACTTCATATAAGATATTCAATTTGACATTATAACAGAGAAGTTGAGTTTTTTTTTTGTTTCAGAACATAGTACTAAGTTAGTGCTAAGAACCTGAATTTGCTGTGTGGTACGTTTGTTCTAGAATTTGCAGGATCTCATGTATCTCATATGTTCATATCTGTATATGTATTCTGAATATTTAGTAATGTCCATTCATACTTCATATAAGATATTCAAGTGTCCTAGACTATATATAAGTATTATAGATATCATTCTGTTTGACATTCATTTCTGAGATTTCCTAATTTCTGGATATGTAACTCTAGGATTCCCCTTCCAAACTTCTACTGGTTTTCTAATTTCCATTTGTTGTTGTTATTGTGTTCTCAAAGCATGAATCTTCTTACCCATGGCCTTTATATTCATTTAGATGCTGCTCTTAAAATACCCTGTGTCTGGCCCATCCTTTTACTCTTTTCTGGTTGATTTGCTTGGCATGAATTGAATTTACTTTTGTTGGTTATCTTCTTCTTTGTTGACAGAGCTTCGATAAGAAGAAGAATGGAAGATTTCAGCTGGATGACTTCATATCACTTTGTATATTTTTGCAGTCTGCTCGGTATGGTATCTCTTATATGTTCCAATATGGTCATTCAGTGTTACATATTATACAGCCAGTCTAGCACAACCAATTAAATTATTGTAAGATTTTTGTGGAACAAATTGTGAGCATGTACAGGTTGTGGAAGAACGTATAGGGTGTCTTGTCATTTTTTTATCATTAGATCTACATGATGCAGACATAAGATAAATTTTAGTTATATAGATAGTATTATGCATTATTTTTAAATATCTCTTTCAAAATAAATTAATGAACCCCAAAGTAATATAATTGTCTTCAATTTTTATTTGTAGATTTCTAACTTGTTGAATCTTTAAAAAAGTTAAAAGTGTTAAACTTTGTCTTCTCTTAAGATAAAAGGATCCATATAAATAATAGCTTTTTTCTTAATTTGATACATTTGCTATGTGTGAAGATTTCCTTTCATAAAACAATTCTTATTTAATCATAATGATAATGCATAGGGTAAACACTTGAATACTAGAAGATAGCAAGAAATAAAAATCCTTAGTTAAAATTCATAAAGTCCGCAACCAAGAGCAGTTGACATAAAGACTAACACTAAAAATGAAAACTAATTAATACTCTTATAGTCAATAGATTATCTACATGAAACTTTTGAGAACTTTAGCAGGTTACATAATTGATCTACTTATTTAGTTTTATCAATATATCAGTTTTTATTTTCAATTTTTTTCTGTAATTGTTTTTTGTAATGAACTTTACCTAATTAGTCTACCTCATAAAAAAAGCACTTAGCATTAACTGAAAAGTTGGTTTCACCAAGTAACATGAATTGATAAAAAAATTAAATACTAGCAAACACCAGTAACATGAATAATTGATAAAAACAAAAGACTTCTAACTAAAACTCTAATTTCATTGAACCTCAATCCTAATGATTTGGTGCTTGTATATATTTTGTTATAACATAATAATGTTTGTTTACTATCGTTATCTAAGCTATGTGTCATTTCATGCACACATAGGGCCGTAAAAATCCTTGCACTGACTTCATCTAAAGGTTCTTTGCAAAGTTATCCATAATTATTTTCTGATTTTCAGATAGGTTATATAAATCTCGCCTTTTCCTTATTCCTTTCATTGTTATTTTGTTGCAGGAATTTGTTTAATGCATTTGATACAGCAAAGCAAGGCAGAGTTACTCTTGATCTAAACCAGTTTGTCTACTGCAGTGAGTACACTAAAATGAATGATGATCATCCAGTTTTTTGATATATTTTTCGGGCCCTTGCATGATTCATTGTTTTGGATTAAAGAAAATATGTCATGCTATTTTTGCTCTTTGAGAAAGGAATAAACAACAATTTTAAACATTTAAACTCTTTTTTTTTTTTTAGACGTTTATATGGTAATTTTAGCCCTTGAAGGTGGCATGTTTCTTACTAACACTATGGTTCACTTTGATCTTTGAACCAAAGTTGATTTCTGTTGGCATTTTCACATCATCTATCTGTTTAAAAGGGTTTAAACATGTATTGAAAGGTTTCTTTTTGCCATTTTGTGCTTGGTATCCAGCTGCCAGCTGTAGAATATGATGTCAAGTACACCAAGTGAACTAGAAGCGAGGAGTACCTCTGCACATTCGGATGGGCCATGGGGACTGATGTCATGATCTGATTGAAAAACCTATGTCGTTGTAGCGTGCCAATAAATTTCCTGCTTGGTTGTGGATCAACTTCTCGTTCTTATTGCATCAACAAATGGTTATATTGTGTAGAATTTTGCATGCATAGGACGTTGTATAAACTAGCCAAAATAAAATAAACCTTCTGTAGTCTACTGCTTCAAAATTGGTCAAATTAAGTTGTTGTTTTGAGTCTTTGCCATATTTTTCTTCTATGTTTGCTGATGCTCACAAAATCCAATTGTATTATCCAAAAGAAAGAGGGAGTAATGGGCACTGGTGAAGGACCAGATACTTGATGATGGTAGGAATGCCAGATCAGAAGAGATCCAAAGGGGCCAATTCAAGCAACTTCCAAAACCAATCATGCAAAATTTCTTTTGCATCTGCGAGATACATATTCTGGATTGAGATGGTGACAGCAATAAAGCTCACTTCTTTGATCTATATGATTGGAAGTTTCATGAACATGATAAGAATCTGCATGATTATCTTCTAACTGTGGTTAGTCTATTTTTTATTCCTCTAGTCATCTATGTCCGCTGAAAATACTAAAAACTCGCTTATACGAAGATAATAAAAAAAAAAATTATCATACACATTGATAGTAAAAATTTTTAATTTCTTATGCAAGGTTAATAAGGTAACACATTTATCTTAATATATATTTAAAAAAATTTTAAAAATAATTTTAAAAAAAGTGGATCATGTATCACTCTCATATGTTTATTATTTTTTTGTTAATGTCATGATATGTCAACCATAATTTTTTTTACCACTTAAACTCACATTAATATAAAAACACTATTTTAATAAAAATTTCTAATTTTCTTTAAAAACTCTTAATTATTATTTAATAATTTTAATTTTATGTGGTAAAAATTACATAAAATAATTCGAACTTAAAATGAACCATTTTTTTCTTGACTCAAATCGGAAATAACTTAATTTTTCCTTGATTCGAAATGATCCAACCTGAAATAATTCAATTCAAACCCGACCCATTTACCACCTCTACCTACAAGTCTAAGTGCGAAGATCTATTACCTTTCTAATCTTTTTGGTTAATGAGATCTCATTTTTTATGATTTAAAAGAACAACCGGGAATACAGTCTACTAAATATACAATTTTTGTACCGAATACTAACAGAGTGACAAAAGAAGAGGGAGCAATATCCTAACAATGACAGGCTAAAAAGGCATATAATTTCTCGGGTCATCAATTTTCCCCTTCAATTATATTCCAGGTATCCAGTTGAAGGACATATAGTCCTCTGATGAATAGGATGTACCCTGCAATCCATCCTTCCAACTAAATCTTATTACAACAAATTTACCCAGTTTTGTATGCAATTAAGAGAAACAGCTAATCATCCACAAGTTAAATTAGTTCCATCTTTTTTTCTCTTTTGTCTGTTTTGGAGCTAACATTGTCATTACCTTCAACAACATCGTTATTGAACCAAAAATAGGAATACAATTTCTGTCCAAAGTCTTTCTGTCCATAAGCATATGGCATTTGCCTAGTGCAGTCTGAATTTGAGGTACATTTCAAGCGAAATGGGAGCCTTTATAACATTAACATGTATGAAAAAATTGGGAGAGAAACTTCTGAAACAGACAGTTTCAGACTATACGGTATCTATGTGGTTCTTCCCTTATATGTTATAAAAGAGCTTCTCAAACAGTTTCATGTGTTCGGTTTGCAGGGAGATGGCAACTGATAAGCTCCCATCATTGTTTGGACTTGGTAATACAAAAGATAACCCCTCATAAGGAATCCCGCCAGGGCCCATGAATATCGGCCGGCCCCAGCCAAAATCGGCATCATGGATTGGTAGCCTAACCCAACTAGTAATCCCAAGATTTGGACACCTAAATGTATGTGCACCACGAACAAGAGCAGATAAATCTGGCTGAAGTTCTAGGTAATCAAGGGCTGACCTTAGATAATCATTGTCCATCCGAACCAATGCATCATGAATCCTGCTTGCAGCATACCATGTTGGCTTTGACTGTAGATCACCTGCCACTGCAATTGGGGTAGCCGTGAAGATCACATTTCCGAAGTAACCAGGTGGAAGTGGGGGCGCAACCTGGACCTTCCATCGGTCGCGATGTACAATTTTGTCCCTTGATCATCAGCAAGTCCACGTGCCTTGCAGACTGACCTCCACACATGACCTGACAACATCTCATATGAGCTATAATTAACAGTGTTCCCATCTTCCTTGGACTTAGCTTTGAGTGCATTGAGCTGTTCCCGGGTCAGTTTGAAAATGGAGACTGCTACGCTTTCCGGACCTGTGGATTGCGGAGGGTTGTTCATTGCAGGAGGTGGTTGATATTCGATGTGGTGGAATACAGGTTGTGGGGGGTCCCGGGCACGGAGAAGGGTCCGGTCGATGAATGGTGGAATTGTGAGGTCAAGACCACGAGCCATATCAGACCATGTATTGATAAAGTGCAGACCAGAAAATCCATCTGCCGCATGATGTTGCATACCAACACCTAGTGAAGCTCCACCACATTTGAAATACGTGACCTGAAACCAAAACCAAAAGCTGTTTAAGAATCACTTAAACCTAAATCCTAGAAGCAAAAAGAAAAGAAAATCCAGTACTTTGTCAATGCTTAAGTTCAAAGCATTCTAAGTAGGTGGATATCAACTAAATTTGTGTGAGATATAGGCGTTCCAACTAGCAAAATTGTTAGGTGGTTTGCAACCATCAAAGAACCCTATTCCAATTAACCTATTCATACTTCAGAAATTGAAATTTGACACAGCCATTTTAATTTTAGAAATCATTATGAGTTTGATACAAACTGAGAAATTCAGGAAGTGCAAGGATAAAGCATCTTCATTTTCAGATCATCTTAGATAATGGCTACTAACGTAAGCCATCCTGTAGACAGAAGCCCACCCCTGTAATTCTTAGCAGAAATAACAACTGACTCGATTGTCAAAAGATTAGCTCCTATTAACAGCACGGCATACCGCACTCCATAACTCTAAAGATTCTAACTGCAGCATTTGCTTAGCTAATTCAGTAAACAGACCAAATTGTGTTCCATCAATCTCAAAATCTTGGATATTTATGCAGGTCAGCCAAAAAATGTCGTTCAACTACTTATGTTGGTTGTGCTATAAAAAAAGAATGGTCCACGTATACTGTGGTATACAAATAAAATATTAAAATTCATTTATAAAACAACTTTAAGGAAAGGTTCTTGTGTAAATTTGTGTTATATAAGAGTCAAATCCAATCCTTCAAGGCATTCATAAGCTCTGTCTTGCATCTAAAAGGAGTCACATGGCCAAACTAGAAAGACATTAAATGATTTTAGTCGTACATGACATAGTGTTATCAACATTAATAACCAAACTTGATCAAATAATCGTAAATGTTGAAATCGGTAAAAGCCGCAACAAAAGGCATAAATACGGTGCGATGGTTGCCTGGTCACGGGCTGCAACACCAAATTTATTTCCTTATCTAAACATGATCTTTATTCCACCAAACTTTTAGCCTATCCACCTAGTTGGGACTCACCAATCAATATTTACAACAACAATGTTCTCTCATGAATTTGGTTTTTTTTTTTATATATATATTTTTCTATACTATTAAGACTTGACAAGAAAGCTCTATAGCTATTAACCAACATTAAACCAAAAGGTCTGGCTTTAACTAATAAATGAATAAAAAAAAAAAAAGTTGAAAAAGCATTACCTGCAAAACCAAGAGCGGAAAAGTACCTATGCCACCAGAATAATCAACGGTTGGGATGAGCTGCCTGAGCTCCAAGGTGGGGGCAAAATCACCAAAATCATCAATAACAGAAGTAGTTTCAGCCTCAACAAAGAGCACCCCTTCACCATTGCAGTCAATCTCAATCCGTCCATCTTCATCCCTTCTCAACCGCGCTGCCATGGGGTAAAACGGCACCAGGGCCTTGCTCAATGCCTCCTTCAACACCTGCGGGTCAAAGAAGTTGGATGCACCCGTCGGCCTGTAAAAGTAAACGCTCGGGGTGTGGAACCTGGGTACCACCAAATCCACGTTGGCGTTCCACAGGCTCCGCCGTGGAGTCTCCTCCGCTGGACGTACCATTGTTGATTCCCTCACGTTCACAATCATGATTAACCCGCGCCTTCTGTCCTGCTAAAGTGCGCTGGCTCTAGTGATGGTGTGACCAACCGAGAGGTATTGGTCTGATTCGGCCTACAAATGAATGCCAATCAAAACCTTTGCTTGTATACATATAGAAAAGAAAACAAACCAAAGCAAACAAACAGGAGGTTGGTCTGCTTAGGCCTGCAAATGAATACCAATCAAAACTTTTGCTGTCATACACGTACAAAAGAAAACAATAAAAATATAAAAAGATTAAAGAAAAGTCAAACGGGTGAAAAAACAAAGAAAAAGAAGGTGGTCAAATTTGAATCCTCTATGCCAATTGAATTTAATATCTCAAACCGCAAAAACATTGAACTTGATATATAAGGGCTAAACAGGCCGATTACACAGGTAAGAGTCTTTGATATCTTTAATTACAAGGATTGAAAAAGCCATGTTATTAGCTAAAAAAAAACAATACCTCTAACTTTGGCGACCTTTAATCTCACATGGCTTGACTTGAGAAACACATGACTAATATTTCATAATTTGAGGAGTATTACAATTAATACTTTCGTAAACTTCATTTGAAAAAAAGAATCCTTTGTTTTTCATATACGAGAAAGTCTAAGCGGAACAGATATTCTGGAATTGAAATCAAAACGCTTTGAGAAACAGACAACAATCGTCGTTCGTCAGGCATGAAGCCTTGGTGTCTGGGTTGTTTTAGAGGAGGAAAAAAAAACAACTTTTCCAGTGCATTTAGAATTCGAGCTGAAAAAACATGGTGTTTCAAAATATAACCAATGAAACAGGATAAAAAAAACCCAGAAAGAAAAACAAATTAAAAGCTTGATGATGCACGGGAATTGGCAAAACGAACCTGCAAAGATTGGATAGAGGAAAGGAGGCGAAACTCGAGCTGTGCGTTACCGAAGACACAAGAAGAAGGGAAAGAGTTATGAAAAGTGGGGGTGGTAATGGCGGAAGTGGAGGGAAAAAGGAAAAAGCGAAGCAAATGGGTGAGGAGTTGGTGAAAGGGTGGTGAGAAAAATGGGCGCCTAAAATAAGTAAGGAAAAAGCAACACTGGCATTTGTCATTCAACTACCACCGCCTACTGACATTGACCATTCACCCTTCGCCACCTCAGCTCCCCTTGACGCAACCCACTTCTTTTCTACTTCCCCACTTCAGACTTAGCACTTATTTTCAAATAAACAAAATAATAATAATAATAAAATTACTCCTACTTTTGAACAATATGAGAGTTGAATTGAGTTGGTGAGGACCGTGGATGACGCAGTCACATTTGCCAACGTTACATGAATAATCTTAAATTTTTTTATAAGGGAATTTACAGTTTGAAAATTTAAAAAAAAAAAGTTTTAAGTATTTATAGATTTAGTAGATATCAATTTTTAAGATAATTGCTTGTAGGGGTGACAAAATTAAAAAAATAAAAAATAGATTTGAAATAATTTCTATCAATTTTTTTATTTAATTTAAATTAAATTTAAATATTAAATGTATATATTAGATTTGAATTAAATTTTAAATAAAAAATTAAAAAAATGATCGAATTTAATTGAATTATATATTTTTATTTGATTTTTATTTTTTTATTTTTATAAAATAAAATTAATTATTTTATGCCTATATCTATTTAAATATATTAAGAATATATTAAAATAATATATAAAAAATAAAATAAAATAAATTTCAAAATAATAAATAGAACCAAATTGATAAATTTTAATTTAAATTGATTTAAAAAAATCGATTCAAATTTAAATCAATTTTTAAAACTTTATAGTATTATACATTATCCAAAAAATCAAAATAAAGCCAATCCAAAGTACTATAAGCCTAACGACATTATCGAAATTAGTTAAGCTCTAAATTTCTTACTTTTCAATTATTTATTTAAAATGATAAAAACTTATATAATTATATAATAAACAAATAAACATTTAAATATTGGCCAAAACAAATTTAAATATTAAAAATTTTGAATAAATATATTATTTATACATATAATTAATCATATAAAATAATTATGTATACAATTAATTACATATATAAATAAATAAATATAAGCATAAGAATAAAATTATAATTATATAATAAATACATAAACATGACAATGAATAATTTGCAAAATATTGGATAAATAAATAATACAATATTAATCAATTCATTTATTAAATAAAAGAATTAGATAAATGAAAAACACGTACATAATTAATTGTTTAAAATAAAATATTAAATAATTAATTAATAACTTCAATAAATTTCAATTATTTATATACAAAAATATTATTTGATATAAAATTTTTAATAAATTTTAATTATTTATTAACTTCGTAAATGCCACATATACTAAAAAAAGTTACATTATATATAAATTTTAATTTAATATTTTAGAAATCATTTTTTTATTGTGATTCATTACACTTTCAACATTATTTTGCTATCTAAAAAATATTTCACAATTAATTTTAATTTCACTACTATATTAATTAATTTAATTTAACTATTAGTAATAGTCAACCAATTTTGAAACATGACAATTTGGTTACTGACGTTATAACTGTAATTGTGTTGTTCACTCTACCGTTAAAAGATAACGGACTTGTCGCTTAGCATTCTGCATTATTATACATTGGACAAGTGTTATATCCACGTCAGAAGTGATCAAAATGTTATCTTTTTGTGATTTGGTAATTAAACACAAAATCTTTAAAATTTAATTCACTTTAAAGATTGAAAGAGTGATGTTTAAGAAATAAGAGAGGATTATCATTGTAAAACTTTTAGATAATATTTTAGGCAAAAATATTTTAAAACTTATATCTATAATTTCTAACAAATATACAATTATTCAAGTATTTTTAAGAAATAAAAACTAAAACTTGTTTTTAACAAATAAAACATATAATCAAGATTTTAAATTGATGATAATCTTAATATTAGTTTAAAAATCAAATTATATTTAATGATATTATTACGAAAACAAGAAAAATAATATAGTTTAAAAAGAATGAGATTAAAACTTAAAGATTAAAAATTATGATATTTTACATAACTATTTTAAATTATTCAAATATGATTTTTTTATTAAAACAATTACATGACAACATGATATAAAATTTTAAAGTAAAATTGAAAGTGAAATATTATGTAAAATGGAAATTTTGAAGTAAACTAGAAGGAAAAGAAAAAACACATTTAATTCTTGTTTGGAGATTGGAGTCTCATTGAGAAAGTTAGAAAAAAAAATTTAAAAAATTTATGTGATTGTAGTTTAAAATTTATGACAAATCTATTAATATTTTAATGACTTATAAGTAATGATTTGTGTGGAATGTATAATTTTAAATTAGAAAATACAACCAAAAAAAAATTAAAAGTTTCAATTTGAAGGGACCAATTTAATTTATTTAGTAATATATATACATACTAATTTGGTATATTGATAAAATGCAATAAAAAATAAAAAGACTTTTATTGTACCTAATTGATATTTTCATGTATTATTTTTGTTTAATTAAAATTTTATTTTGAGTGAAAATCATTAAAATTAGTTAAAAAAATAAAAATTTACTTAAATTAAAACAGTACTTTAAGGATTTACTTAGAAAAAAATAATATTTTCAGGATTTAATTAGATAAAAATAATAATTTAAAGATTTAATTAAATACAATAAAAAATAAAAGACTTATCTTAAAAATTTTATAAAAAAAAAAAATACATGATTCTTTTTTAGCAAAAAAGTAATTGCGGGACGGTACACACGGATTTAGCTGCATTAATTAAAAATTTCAATTCATTAAAAAAGTTGGGTCGCTAAAATTGTCCTTCATGCCACCCAAAAACATATTGCCCACGCGGGGAGACCTTTGGGAGTCCGAGTTAGAGTCGCGTTTGTAGCCACTCAAAAATTATGCATTCAACGGTCTAATAAACAAACGTCACTTTTTGTTAAAAAAAAACAACAAAACAAAACAAACGTCACTTTTCACCATATTTAAAATAATGGTGTTTCATAATTGCTATAAAATTAATAACAGAAATTAAATGAATTGTCAAATAAATAGTCTAATTATGGACCCCAAAAAAAAAAAATCAGGTAACTTGACATTTCTAAGCACTTACTAAAGTAAGTTAAAATTTTATTTTAAAAATATTTTATTTAATGCATTTTTCACTAAATTAAAAGCAATATATTATTTTTATACTAAAAATTTTAATATATTTACATTAAAATTAAATATTTATATTTTATTTACAGATCAAACGACTATTATGTTGATTCATGTTACATTTCAAAAGATTAAAATTATAAGAAGATATGGTGAGATTTATAAAATGAAAAAAATAAATTTTTATTGTGTAGCGTAATATCACGTACTATAAAAAAATTTTGTTAATATTTTTAAATTAAAAAAAAAATCAAGGAAGTTGGTGAGATGGTGACCAAAGGATGACTCCCTTGAGTCCGATCCTAGTTTCTTCCTAAACCAATCGAACTTGATTCACCGACTCTTATCTTGTATTTTATTGGCTTTGTAATAATATAATATAATAATAAGAAATTTGGTTGTGGATCCCACTTGTATTCGAATAAACGTGGGTCCTACGTTTGCATAGTGCTGGTTGTTGTTTGGTGAGACTTAAGATTGAGAGAGGGATGGGTGACTGGATTTTGGATAGATAGGCGTGGGGCGTGGGCAGAGAGAGAGAAACCCGCCAAACCACCATGACGGCGATTGTGATCTACGAATATGATGGATGGTTGGAGTTGCGTTTGGGGTCCAACCGGGGGCCAAGGGGGTTGGTGAGACGCTGATCCACTCTAATATTACCACTTAAGAGTTAGCCTTATTAATTTGAATGGCGAAATTGTGTGATTTTTGGACCGCTATTTCATGACTTTTTTTTGTTCATTATTATAGTTGGTGTTGGTTAAATGTTAGGCGTTGATCGAACGTGGGCTGTGATTTGGATATGAGAAAAATAGAGAATGGAGTGGTTAAAGAATTAAAAAAATATATGTTAAAAAATTAATGGAAAAGCCAACAAAGTTTGGTGAAATCTCCAAAAACTGGTATTTGGTACATGTCGATCACTACGATATCATAGACATGCGTTTAAAACACCGATATGTTTGGTAAAAATTTGATTTTACGTGATAATAATTTTATATTAATCAAAATAAAATTAGGTCATTGTCGGGAGAAATAATTTAATTCTTATTTTTATAAAAAGAATATAAGATTTTTTTCATCATGATATAGTGCATGATAATTTATTAATAATCGCATGATTCTTCAGTAAAATGTTAAAATTTTAATTTTAATAATCAAAATTTAATATTTATAACCTAAAATACAAAAAAAAAAAAAGGTGCATAGTAATCTATAAAATCAATTATGGACGATTTCAGCTTTTTTAATGGTTGCATAAAACCCATGCGTTTTTTATCGAAAGAACATAAAACCCTTACTTCTTCTAAAAATAAAAATATTTTACTCTTTCAAATATTATTTGTTGCCAACTCATAGGACATTACATATTTCTTTCCATGTTTATCTTCTTTAATTATGTATATAATCTTTGTTCCGATGGTAAACTCATTTTAAATTAAAATAAACTTGGATAAATCAAATTGGATAAATCTAAAAGTAAGATCCATATTTTAAGCCAGATTTGAATAAATCTAAAATTTATTTAATATTTTATTTAAATCTAGTCTGACCCTGTCCATGAATAATTCTAATCAGAATGTATAAAACTCTTTAAATGAGGACTTTATGAGCTTATGCTTAATTAACGAACTTCTTATAAGTCATTCAGGTTCCAAAGTCTTGACATTTCTTTACGTGCACAACAAAATGTCCTGTATTTCCAAAAATAAAATAAGACCTTTACAACGAAGTACTGAGTTGGTAAAGATTAGATATTTCCCAGACGCGAAGGAAGCCAATTTAAAGAGCTAGCCTCACTAGTTATTATTAAGAGGGATTGCTATGAAAATCGAGTCATCAATGAAAGTTGCTACTTTTAAATAAAAAAAAAAAAGTGTATTTGTGCGCACAAAATATGGGAGTATCCTAATTTATTAACTTCATTAATAATTATGATTTGTTTGTTTAACAATGGCAAATGTAAAAAATTATAACTGTTAACACTTCATTTTTTGTTGGAATATTTTAAAACATTTTAAAAATAAATTCGAATTAATTTGATTTAAATTCAAAATTTATCTTAAATCAGGTTTGGTATTAAACTTGATTTTCATGTCCATGATCAAATCATTTGTTAAACCAAGCTTAAAGTCAATATTTGCTTAAGGGATGATAAATTGGGACTTGAGATTTTTCTTTTGGGTTTTGAATTGTTTTTGGGTTCTTAATTCAATTTTGGATCTCAGATTTATCTTTTAACTTTGGAAGTGGACTTTTAATAAATTTTTGGTCAAATTGGATTTTACTTATGATTGGGTCCTAGGCCCAATAAAAGACTCGGCTTCTCTAAATTTTATTTATTTATTTATCTTATTTTTATGTTTAAAAACAGAGCGTCCGGGGCTCGGGCGGCACGTGTCGTAGCCGCGGCTCATTTGGCTGCAAAAATGGTTTAAAAAAAAAGAAAAAAAGAAGACGCTATTACTTTACTCCCTTAAAAACAGATAATAAAACACTGAACAGTCACTTTAACAGATCCATTACCGTCTCTCTCTCTCACACAAAACTGTACGATCTCTCTGACTCTCAAACTGGCAAGTGAGTTTCGTTTCTCTTTATATCACAAACCCTAATTAATTTCTACTGATCTTTTCTATCAATTATCATAAATATAATTATTCAATCCGATCTCCATTACTCGCTTTTCTAAATTTCAATTCCATTTATTTATTTTGTTATTTTTTCTCTTATTGTTACTATTTGATGATCCGTTTGGTACCCTGGAAAACCAGGGAAAATGAGAAGAAATGCATGTTGATTGAGAAAAAAAAAAAAAAAAACAACTCAAAAAGACTTGAACTCACAGCAGCGCCTTTTTCCTATAGGATTGACTTTCTCTGTGATCAAAACGGAGTAATTAGGTCATTCTTGTTCCTTGATGTTGGTTTCTTAATTTGGACACGTGTTTCAAAAGGATTTTGATTAGTAATACATGTTTTGGATAAGAAAAAAGGAAGTGATATAGTGCGTCAAATTTTGATTCTACCTCTAGTAACAGTTATTTGCCATGTTTTGACATGTGGTTTTGTATTAATCTATTGGAATGTATTGCCTTTTGTTCATTGATTTAATTAGGTTCGTGCATTAATGGTATAGAATTAAGCATGCCATATGCACATATATCTCTTACAGCATTTATTTTTATATAGACAAATACTTGCAGACAATATCCTTATATATGCATATATATGTATGTTCTTGTGTCACTTTGTGTCTATGAATGAAAGGAGAAATTTTGAGTAGAACTGATAGTTTTTGGTTACTCAGGAAATGGGGGTATACCTCAGCACCCCGAAAACTGAAAAGTTCTCAAATGATGGTGAAAATGACAGGCTTCGATTTGGTTTGTCGTCCATGCAAGGATGGCGAGCAACTATGGAAGATGCCGTAAGTGCTATCTCTAATCTCATTGTTTGACTTAATGTTATCTGTCTTTGGGACTTACCTTCAGTTAACAATTAATTGTAATATTTGCTTATCCTATATCTAGCATATGTTTCCTAACAAGGTATTAAATAATGTCTACTATATGGTCAATATCGTATGTCTCTTTTATGTAACTAATATTAATATCTGCTTATCTGACATATACTACTTGTTTCTTAACATGGTATTAAGTATCATGTAGCTTTTAAGCTGAGAGCTAAGATTGCACCCTCATAAGGCTTTGGGTTTAGAAATTGCTTTAGTGCTTTACTGATTTTTAAAAATATCAAATCAAATGTATTATAAAGATGGATTGAATCTTACCAAAACCTAACATATTAAAGGAAATTAGAAACTTCTATCTCAATAGATTCCTTTTGCTTCATGTGTGTGCGTGCATGCCCACGTGCTTCTTTTGAAAGTAATTGCTTGATGCATGTCCAACTGTGTTGGAGGCCTGTTATGTCTAAGAAGTTTGAGGGATACAGTTCCTTGTTAAAAGCATGTGTTCAATGTCAAATGGTGATTATCTCCATTTTCTTTGAAGGGTAATTTATCTACCTATTGGTAGCAAATTTACCTTAAATGACGCCATGAATTTACTATTGTGGTTTTTGCAGCATGCTGCTTATCCAGATCTGGACAGCTTGACGTCATTTTTTGGTGTTTATGATGGACATGGTGGTAAGGATTTGAGCTTTCTATTTTTCTTACATCACCTTTTTCTTAGAAATTATTTAAGTTCATCTTTCAGTCAAGCTTTCTTTCCTTTGCTGGATACTGTTTGCATTCTTCCAAATATAATTTTAGTTATTCCTTCGGCAAGTCTTAGCTGACTGGCATGTGTGTTTGATCTTGCCACTAATGAAGCGACTAGGGTAGAATTATGACTTTAAATATTGAGGTTTTATGATGTTACGGGAGACAAACCTGTTGGCGTCTGCATGTGTTTAATATATATCATTGGCAGCATGCACTTTTTCCGTTTGTATGTGTGTTTCTTTTTCTTTTCCTTTTCCTTTTTACTATTTTGCCAAAGTTTTATATGTAGCTTTGCTTTAAGTGTAGGCAAAAAATGCAACCTTTTTTGCTTAGAAACATTTTTGGTAACAACTTTTATGTTTCAACTCAAAACAAGGAGGAAAAAGAAAATGCTAAATTTCTTGAATCAAAGGATGAATCTCATCAAATCTTGACTTTTCTTTTCTTGTTTCTGTTTCCAGCACATAGTCTGTCTATACAAATTAATTATCAGAAGATAATAATGACAGTTGTTGGTCCCATTTAGCATACAAGTGCCTTAATTTGTTGAATTATTTTTCTTCTCATATTTTAAACAAATGGTTTTATTAATTGAAGGGCTCTTTTAGTGTCAAGTTGAGCCCAATAATCCTTTTGAAATTTGAATAGTGGTGATACTCCAATTATCTTGGTAATGATTCTGAATTGTACCATAAACTTTGAGCTAGTGGTAGGAAGCAAGCTACAATTTTGGGTGGGCTTGTTTTGTGTTTTGATGATTTATTTTCTATTAGAAAATGTTGAAGGGATTGGAGTTGGTCAAGCACATTTAATGGATGGTAAGACCTGCATAGACTGGCCTTGCCTTAGTTGGCATTGCTAAAAGGTCATCAATGGTGCCTAGGATTGGATTTTGATTTTCAAGTTCAGCATCCACCACAGTGAGGTTCTTAAGATGCTTATTTATAATTGTTAGAAAGAAGGCCTAGACACTCTACTCATACTTGAGATTTCTATGCAATGAATAATGTGCTTATGTCTAGCTGCAAAGTTTCTTATTCTGCGATTCTTTCTTCTTCTTTCCTTTTCTGTTTTGTTTATTTCTATTGAAAATTTGACTGCTTTGAATTTTTGATGTATTTTGAACAACTTCAGGGATTGATAGACAGTTTTTGGTACACTGTGGTTATTTTCTGCTCAGTTAATACTATTTGTATGTTTCATGTTTCCCATTAGTTGTATAGGTAAATATTGGTCTTTATGGAAAGTTTACCTATTTTCATAACTCTCTAGCACTCTTGAAGTCTGAAACATAGAAGTTGACCGGCTCACAATCGGTAAAGTGTTTACCTATTTTCATAACTTTCTAAAGCGTTTACATGATTGAATTAGCTTCTCAGCTGATTAAATTCTTGGTGCAAAATCTTTTAAGTATGTTCTATGTCTGTCCATTTATCTGTAGGTAAAGCAGTCGCTAAGTTTTGTGCCAAGTATCTTCATCAACAGGTGCTCAAGCATGAGGCATATTCAGCTGGAGATATAGGGACTTCAGTACAGAAGGCTTTTCTCAGGTTCCTTTACTGGATTATTTGCATTATTCTTTTGGTTATCAATATTTGGAAAATGTGTCATAGCCCAAGCACAAGGTAGCTGATAAGGTGCCTTTGACATGTAAGTTACATGTTCTAAGTTTCCTGGGAATCAGGAACTGGACCATGTGCTTGGAGCTCATGATCGTTGCAACTCAAATTTTGTTAATGCCTATAAATGATTATTTTAAGTTTTTCCCCTCTTTATCTAATTAATTCCTTCTGACACTGATCCATTTGCATTTCCATATTGCTGCAATGTCACTGGTTTTTTAATGGATGAGTTATTTATAGCTCCCTTCTGGTATATGCTATTGCCAGTGCATCTTTGACTATTTAGGTCATTATTGTCTAGCCTTTTTTGCATTTTCCCCATGAATTTGAAATTTAAGAGTACAATGAAATTCATTTCACTGATAAAATATGATATAAATAAGGGTGCTTGGTGTTTAGTTGTTTATTCTGCTATACATGCATCCAACTGCTGTTTTATTGATCTTGCAGAATGGATGAGATGATGTGTGGACAAAGGGGATGGAGAGAATTGGCGGTCCTGGGAGATAAAATAGACAAGGTTTCTGGCCTTATTGAAGGGCTTATATGGTCTCCTAGGGGTGGTGAAGCCAATAACCATTTTGATGATTGGCCTCCTGAGGAGGTATTTTTATGATAGACAACTGATATATTTTAGCTTTATGAAGCAATTTCATTTTATATTTGCCTTTCTGACCAACAAGCATTTGGACTAGAAAATGTTTCTATGAGATCTAAGCTACATTGCTTTAAATGTTTCTTTGGTTGCTTTGATAGTTCATGCCAAGGAGTAGAGTACGTTTTCAACTGATCCATTTCCTTTACCATCAATAGGAGTAATTATATGTTCTAGTTTGGGTGTTAGGCGTATCCTTGCATAATAAATCTCTTTACTAATAAATTTTGTTGTTTGCATATTTGGCAAATTGGAAAAAATTGATGAGAATATTGATAAAAGAAGCTTTTGTCATTGCAGTTTATACAGATACTTTTACTACATTTGTTTTTTTTTTTTTTTGGTGAATATAGCAGAGTTAGATGTATTTAATGTAACAATCAATACTGTTTTTAGGACATGGACTTTAATTGAACCAACTCTATGAAGTATGCTAATTTTAATTGGGGTAGGATATATCACAAATTGAACGAGATTAGTAAAGTTTGCTCTATCACTTTTGGGGTTAGATCAGGAGACTTTTTAACTAAGGAAAAGAAAAGTTATCTGAAATTTTTGAGTTGTTCTTTGAGGCTTTGAGGAGCCTAAACAACAGAAGATGGATAAAATAAAGGAGAAGGATGATCTTTGCTAGAGGTTTATGATTTTTTAAAAAGGAGCTTAATATGAACTGGATTGCAAAGTAATAAAAGGAGCATGTGGATGCTTCTCTCTAGCATTAAAAGGAACCAAATTTCTGCTCTTTTGCCATTTGACACTGCTGAAGAAAATTGCAAAACATGAAGGAAATTGGAATTCAGTCCAGTGGGGTTGTATATTTAAGAACTTTTACTGCCACTGCATTAAACATTTACTCGAGCGTATCCTGCAGATTGTCCTAGGATTGTGAATTCTTTCAGTTAATTTGCTTTGTATTCATCTTATTAATAGCACTAGATAAGTGACTGTTAATTTATTTTAGTTAGAATTATGAAAGTTTTACTGTTTACCTTTTCCTTGTCTTGACCTCTATTGTGGAGAGGAAAGATGGGAATACTTTTGGACAAAGACATACCATCAGTTTGTTACTATAAATTTGGAAAAAGAACTTTGAATAGTTTTTACTCTATGGATTGGTGGATTGCTATGAAACATTATTAAATCATATGTTATCTTGACTTTTAAGTATAGTGGAGGAAAGAGGGTTCTCTGATGTAGCTTAATTGTAAGTGTCATATGTGCTTTAAACTTTAATATGATTTGTTTAATTCTTTTAATGTAATACCATATGCGAGAAGCTTTTGTTTGATTTGTCAATTATGTATATTTTATGTGTGAAATTCTAATATGAAGTTTTGTGTTGATTGCAAACTAGGGCCCTCATTCTGGTTTTCATGGACCTACTTCTGGAAGCACAGCCTGTGTAGCGATAATTCGAAACAGGCAACTTGTTGTTGCTAATGCTGGTGATTCCCGTTGTGTAATATCTAGAAAGGGTCAGGTACATTTTTCTTTTCTTCTGCAGAACCATGAAAACAGAATTTGACAATACTGTTTTCTTCTACAGAACCTTTTCTGATGTTTTCTTCTACAGAACCTTTTCTGAAGACCTCTGAAAATTGTGAGCTGAAGGGATGTCTGCTTTGAATGACAACTAGTGGTTTTGTTATAAGTTATTTTAGCTATTTTAAGAGGCTGTTGTTCAGGTTATATTTTGTCATGATTTTAGGAATAAGATGTAATCTGCCTGCCTTGCTCTTTTAAATGTGCGAGTATTTTGAGTCAGATGTGACATGGAAAAGGTTGTAGCAGATGTTCTTACCTTTATCCATTTGATTGGTGATAGGAGAGTGGAAAGTAGTGTTAATGTAATATAATCCCATTACATCATTTGATTGAAGTATAATAGTCACTAGATTTATTACTGAACCAGTTGTAAAGCATTTATCCATGCTCCATTATCAGACATCTTCTAAGTTTTCTTTACCTCTCTTCTTTTGGATATGCAATAGAGTTCCTCTGTAAGGTGGCATAGCTTAGCTGGCACATTCTTTATTTCATATAAGTTTCTTTTCACAGGCGTATAATTTGTCTAAAGATCACAAGCCCGACCTTGAGCTGGAGAAAGATAGGATTCTGAAAGCTGGTGGTTTTATTCAAGTGGGGCGCGTCAATGGAAGTTTAAACTTGGCCAGGGCTATTGGTACCTTCTAGATCCCAGTTTAACTATTTTCTCTTGAGGGTATATGTAGGTGTGGCAGAGAGGGGAGGGGGGATATTTGCTTGTTGATTCATAAATGTCTTTCGCTTTCAGGGGATGTGGAGTTCAAACAAAACAAAACTCTTCCCGCTGAAAGGCAGATTGTAACAGCTAATCCCGACATAAACACTGTAAGTGAATTGCTGTTTGCTTTAATATTCGTGTAATTATTTGAACTCATTCTATAAATTTTAATATTGGCCTATTAATTTAATAAAGAAACTAACCTTTTTAGTGTTCTTTTGTCAAAATTACTAAGAGAATAAACTATCTATCTTTATTTTGTAATTTTAGTATTTCATATGAATATATAAAACTTGATCAAGATATAATTGCCAATTAATATTGTTATTCAACCCTATGCTTATAATCTGTTTCTGGCCCTCTTTGAAATAGGTTGAGCTTTGCGATGATGATGAGTTTCTTGTTTTAGCTTGTGATGGGATTTGGTGAGTTACTTTATAAGAATGTTTCTATTACAAGAACTTGCATCTTTTGACCCTCCTGCTCTGAAATCAACTTTAGATCCTACCAGAATATTACTTGGGTACTATTCTGAATGCACTTTGTAATTTGCTGTAGGAGCATGCTGGATGCAAGCATGCATGCATGCATGCCTACTTGCCAATCTTTCTGAAAGATTTGATATAAATTAATCTGTCAGAGTATGACTGTAAGCTGGAATGGTGAATGAGGGGGGATTCATATAGCCAATCCCAACTTAAGGAACTAAGCTCATTTTTATATGTATTCATGCATGCTAATATTTGACTATGCATCTATGTATGTAGGCATTGATGTGTATGTATATGATAGAAAGCATGTGTATGGTTCCTTTAGGAGCTTGTAGGAGGGTATTGTTGAGGACAGATAGACAAGAAACAAAACTTTGGTAGGGATATAAAGAATGCTGCTAAATACTGGAGAATTAGAAGAGGTGGGCCATTTCTGCTGGGGAGTGAATAGGATGTCCAGAGGTGATATATAGCATGTATCATTGGCCTTGTCAATACTTAAAGAGTGGAAGGCTAAGGGGAATGAAGAGTATAGTCATCTTTTCTTATATAATATATATGTGTCCTATATATGTATGTACGTACATGTGTGTGTGTGTATGCATGCGTGCACTCCTTTTGGTTCCACCCATTCTCATCTGCTTCTTGGTCACATTTTCTTGATTATGGATGGGCATATGTGTTATGTGTGTGTTTGCTGCTGAATTTGAAGATTGTCATTGACTAACATACTCCCCTTGGTTCCTCCCCCCCTCATCTGTTTCTTGGTCACATTTTCTTCATTCTTTCTATCAATTGTTATGTTACAATATTGGTGAGAAAATTATAGTTAGCACTCTTTTGACTGGTCCATGACATTCTTTCTATCAATTGTGTTATTACAATGGTGTTAGAGGGCTATTTACTGATATGCCAATCTTATAGAATGTTTCACCTCCAAATTAATCATCTGAATTATTTAAAATAAACATTGGTGGGTTAGATGATGTTAGTTCTTTGTGTTAATTTGATGCTAAATCTTTCAGTTCTGTTCACTAGGGACTGTATGTCAAGTCAACAACTAGTGGATTATGTACGAGAGCAGTTAAACTCTGTAAGTCCTGCAGAGCCCTCGTCAAAGCATTTTAAACTGGTCAAAAAAAAGGATTCCATTAATTAACACTGCTATGGCTGATGAATTATTGTTAGATGAGCAATGAGCTAAGACAGATCTCTTTTGTCTATGCAGGAAACTAAACTCTCAGCTATCTGTGAGAGAGTATTTGACAGGTGTTTGGCTCCAACAGCCGGTGGTGAGGGTTGTGATAACATGACGATGATCCTTGTTCAGTTCAAAAAACCTGTTGGTTCAGGTGCTTCTTCAGAGCAGTAGCGCCACCATTGATCGATCAAACGCCCAAACAGATAAAAGTACATTGGAGTATTAGCCTCCTTTGCTTGACCAAATCGCTACCCGTTTTCTTCAAAGCTGTAAGCAAAAGCATTATGATACTTGGTTTTCACATTCAGGAAGTGATTTGCTGGCGATATGATTGTATATGTTCCAATTCCAAGTTTTTATTTAAGGGTTTTTGTAGATGTGTTAATTTCTGTGTTTAATCTTTGAAATGTAAGTGGTTTTCCATGATTCTACCATCAACATATCATTTTATGTTTAAGCACGCCGGTGGGGGAATTGGATAGAGAATATCATTCATAGGCATTAACCTGCCTCTGCCCCTAAAATAGGTTCAAAAGCTTTGATGCTATTACGTTCTTCCGACATCTTAGGTTGCAGTGATTCATTACACTGTGAATTACTACTCTCTTTCAACTTTTGCACGATTGGCATCATTTATATAAAACCAAAAAAAAAAAAAAGCCCAAAAAACCACACAAAAAAATTGACAAATTGAAGTTTAAATTTTACTCTTCCTAATATCTGAATTTTGGTAATTTTAAACTTTTTATCCTAATTTTAATGAATTTACTGCTTGCATTTGTATTAAAAAGTTGGTTAAAAGACAATAACATTGTAAAGATTTTTGTGTGACGGTCTTTCTTTCGGTGGTACACCGCAGGTTGATGTAGGTTAATATTTTGGCTGTGCAGCACATTTCAATCCAAAAAAAAATCTTATTTTATTTTAATTAAATAATAAGTAATTTTGTAATTCTATTGCAAATCTCCTTAAAATATTTAACGCAAATAGACATGACACGAGAAAAATATTACCAAGTCTATTGCTAATCTCCTTAAAATACAATTGACAAGCATAAAAAAGTTGGAATTTCCTTTCATCTGAAAATAGGAAAAAAGAAGCGAATAATAGATCGCATCTCTTGCATGGATAAAGAGAAAATTATGTAAAAATTCCGTAGAATACAATTATACATAGTAGAAATAGATGTATGGCCTGCTTGACAAGTTTTCTTATTTGCAATCAATCACGTGTGTAATTTCATGCAAGAATTGTCATCGACATACAACATTGTATAAATCTCATTCTTGGATCCATTCTTCTCAACAAGACGCCTATAGAATGAATCTTAAAAGGAGTATAAGGAATTGCTGATGAATTTCTAGCCAAAGGCATGGTGAGGGAAAGCACGAGCCTTGTTAGTACCAAAGAAAGATGATTCATGAAATATGTGTGGTGGTAGTCGCGCCATCAACAAAATCGCCATCAAGTATAGACTTGATGGAAGTGATGACTTGGAATGATGACTTTTGGAACACCGCATAATTTAACAACTTTTCTAAAATATCACATGAGAAGCATCAGATGTTTTATTGTAAGGAACAAAATGAGCCATCTTGGAAAATACTAATGCAGCAAGCAGTCGATCAAGATAAAATCTGTCCACCACAAGGTTGGTTTAAGTAATTGCACTCTCAATAGATGCATATTAATGATACTGTGGAAATCTACGTACTAAATGTGGAAGTTTTCAGACAAAAACAAGTACGTGTAGAATGAGATGGATTTATAAGAAACTGAATAAGTGAAGTACAGTTTATAGCAATCCTAAGTTGGATTGCCTGCTGGACTTCTGTTCCAAGACAAGTAGGATGGATCACCAAGAGGCCTGCACAACGCAAAAGATCCACCTCAAATAAAGTACATGATTAAAACAAAATGAATAACAATATAAAAAAGGAAAATAGGCAACTATCCAATCATAAGAATTGAATACTACAGTTCCATTTCTTTTCATTTGATCTTTGTAACTATTACAGAAGAGAAGAGGATCTTATTAAAAAAACCAAAGCATGGCCAGTTTAGTTTTAGAAACCATTTTCTATTCTTCATTTCAGTTTTGATATATGATCCCACAATCAGAAAGACCAGAAAACTCACAGTTTATATATAATCAAAGCAATTAAGACATTTCAGTCAATATTTTAATAAAATGGCTGCTTTATGATATTGAAAAGTTAGTATAATGTGCCAAATCTCAAATTAAACATAAAGCAATGAACCAAGTTCTTTTTTTCACAAGTCATTAGCCATTAGTCAAGCAGTTTAGAAGGAAAATATTTTGACTGGGAAATATTTTCTGAAGAGAAAATTGTTTTTCATTGAAGCTTCACTTACATTTAATATATTCTAAGTAATATTTTTCATGCCTATGATTAAATTTTAAATAACACAACTTTTTATACTTATTCTTTATTACTTTCCTAAAGAATGTTCACACAAAATTCTACATTATCAATAAATTTTACTACATGAGGAATAACAGGTAAAATTAAAACCATTAACTCACCTTGGCTTGATAACATAAAGAAGTATGAAGCTTACTGCTAAAAACAAGCACAGCCCCCCTACAGTAATATATGCTACGCCAAGGAAATCATTTTTTCCACCTATCCAACTTGTGGTTGAAAGAACCAACTTCTTCTTGCCTCCAAAACTGTAGGTGTTGTAATTGTTCTGTATTACAACAGTTATTTGCTCATTGGCTTGGAGGTCCTCCTCTATTCTCCCATAGAGTTTTCTGAACGTTGGCAGTGCAGCTGTACGCATCCAAACAATCAGATCCTCTTGTTCACTTAACTGTTGCATGCAGAAGAGCAAAAATCTCAGCCAAAAGGAACAAAGACAAGGAAGAAAAAAGTATGAGACGAGAAACATAACAAGCGAGACTCACAGGTATGCTCGAATTCAGTGTTGCACCTCCAATCAACCCTCCAATCTGGAAATTTTTTGGATAAACGTCAGATCCAAATTTATTCTCTTTGTCACTGTCCCATGCTATGTTCTTTTTGTTGACTTCTAACATCTTACTTTTCACAGAAAATCCATATGTGTCATTGAACAAACTCCACGCAATGAGGCCACAAGGAACAATTGGACCATCTGGTGAAATACCTTCAGGGTCACAATTTTTTGTCTCACTCTCATAGGCCTTGCTCCTCAACTGTTTATCACTTCGACTTTTAACATAACTGCAAGCATTTTTCCACAAAAATGTAACAAGAGTTTTTTAAGATGAAAACTAAGAATATCGAAAAGTGTTTTCAAGTCAAGTACAAAAAGAGGAAGATGCCTAATTAGCATTTAGAAGCATAAGAAACACTACAAAATCTTTCATGAAAGAGATATACCTAAATCAGGTGTTAGAAACGCAACAAAATAGAAACATTCATTAAACTCAAACATGGTATCGATAAATAAGTATAAATATAGAACATTTCTTCAAATAAGTTTTACACACCGGCGATGGTTCTGATAGAAGTTATCAAGTTGATAGTAGATAAAAACAGGACCTTTCATCAGCTTGGGAACCTGAAAAAAAAATGGAAAGGAAAAGGATATAGATTAATACTCTTTAGCAGAAGGGACATGTTAAGATGAAATGTGGAATAGAAGAACATGTAAAGGAGATTCAGGGCAGGGATTCCTTGAACACAATAAATGAGAAAATAGAGAAGGAATTTGACTAACGCTCAAAGTCCTGGTACACGACTTGTTAGTTCGACTGCTTTGGATATATGCAAGCTTATCATTGGAATAATTAGAAGGAACACAGCCTTCATCATAGCGATCCACAATTTCCACCACCTATACGATAAATTAGCACAGATTTTATGTTCAACAATTATCAATAGCAAGGAATAAACACATTTAGAGATTTTTAAACAGTGAAGAATACACTACATGCTCCGATGCAGACAATGAAACAAGTCCAATTGGGATGAAGATGATTCCAATGATGGTAAATGTTGTAATGACCTGAAAACCCCACAAATATGAAATAAAATAAGTTAACAACTAAGAAAAATGCAAGCTTTCATTAATACAAATGTGAAAGAAAAATAAAAACTTCAGCTTTCCTAAGGATTTAATCACAAGATTTCTAGCATTTTCAAATTCTATCTCTTCTTTAGACTTTGTCAAATGCATCCAAAAGGGAAATTCAAATTCAACAACGATAGTTTGAAACATACCAATCCTGGTGTAAGAATAGGTTTGCAAGCAGGAAGCTCTTGCTGTGTGAACCTAGAATCTGCAATCCACACAAAAAAACAAAATTACCATAAACCCAACCCTTGATTTTCAAAACTATATATTTCCAAATGAAATACAAAAAAAAAAAAAAGTATATAAACACATAATATAAAATCTTCAATAAAAAACAATGATCAGTAACAGTAAGCAAAACCCAGAATTACTTTTTCCTTTTTGTTTTGTTTTGGGTATTATAGCCACATTGCACCCATTTTAACAGGTTCATCGAAGGTAAAGCCAAAAAAAAAAAAAAAAAAAAGAAAAGCAATCTGGCAATGCAGATATTAGTGAGAAAGATTAACAAGAAAGGGGCAAGAAAGGAACATACATTTGGGTTTTTTGGAATTCTTTTTGGCCGCTGAAGATGAATCAGAGGTTGAAGTTGAACCACCACCAGCAGCGGAGCTCGTGGTGGCTCCGTTGGTATCCATCTCCATGACCACTCTTACTCTTCCCTCCTCCTCTCCCCAGATATAAATATTATTTTTTTTCTTATCAGATCTCAATTTTTGTTCTTTTTCTTTTTCTCGAAATTCCTTTTTTTCTTTTGATTTTTTTATTGGAGGATTTTTGTTATTGGTTTCTTTTTTTTTTTTTTTAGTCTCAAAAGAAGAATTAAAAAAATAAGAAAAAAAGGAAAAATAAGAAAGTTGGTTATGAGAGGAAAAAAACGTTTGCACGAGAGAAACTACCGGTCAAACGGTCAGTCTTCGTTTTCTTTTATCTTCAGTGGTGCTAGTGTAGGTGTTGTTATGTTAGTAAACCTATAGGGTTATGACACGTGGATTAACTGGTTTAAGCCTGCAATGCCAACTAAGCCAAATTGTAGGAGAGTGACGCCTAATCATAATAAAAATGGCCGGATCTATTTTATATGCCTTAATTAATAAACTGATGGTAACAATTTGAACCTAATTCAATCTCGATAAATAAAAGGGTTGACTGAATAATCTCATAAATCAAATGATTTTTTTGAAGTTACATGAAATTTTATTAAAATTGTTAAAAATAAACAAAAATAAAAATTTATTTAAGAGTGATTATCAATCAATTTTAATCGATTTGATTGATCAAAATCAATTAAATTCGATTAAATTGATTCATTTAATTTAAATAAAATGATTTAATTAATTAATTTGTTGATTTTTTATTTTTAAAATTAATAACTGAATCGATAAATTTATTGATTTTTAATAGATTTTTAAATATTTATATATAATTTAATGAAAATATTTTTTATTTATATTTTTAAAAATGATAAATATGATATTAGTGATAAAATTATAAGATGAGTTTTATTGGGTGAAAATTATTATAAAATACAGTTTGATGATTATTAAAATTTAATATTTGTTAAAAGTTATATTTAAAAAGGAATTTAATATATATATATTATATAACAATATACATAAACAAGTTTGTCACGTAAGCATTTATATAGATAATTCTCTTAAATGACACGTAAGATATTTAAAAAAAAATAGCTTTTTTAAATTACAATTAGATAATTTTAAATTTATTTAAATATCAAAATTATTCAAATTATAATTAAAAATCAAATTTAATATATATATATATATATATTATATAACCACATACATAAACACTTATATAGACAATTCTTTTAAATGACATGTAAGATTTTTTTTAAAAAATAAGATAGTTTTTTTAAATTATAAATTAAATAATTTTAAATTTATTCAAATTTCAAAATTATTCAAATTATAATTGAAAATCAAATCAATTTAGAGATATATTTTTTAAATTAAAAATATGAAATATGGATTTTTTTTAATAAATAATTTTAGTAATTTACCAAATAACCTTATTTAAAAAATTATTTAATTATTAAAATCTTTCAAACATGTTTAAAAATTATAAAGATTAAATTTATTTAAATCTTTCAATAATAATTTTTATCTTGATTTAAAAAATTTACGTAAGATATTAAAAATTTAAGTAACGTTATGTAATATTTTGAAATTTCAAAAAATTTTCATCTTAAATTTTTAAATAATAAGATAATCAAAACTATTATATTCATTTGAACTCTAATTACTAAATTTATAGTTCAAATAAATACAAAAAATTTAATATTATCTTTATCACTTATTATATCTATTTTAAATTTTAAAAAATTAATTTAAAAATTATCTATTTAATCCTATTTGCCACTAAAAAATTCTTTTACAAATTTAATATTACAAATGTAATGTGTTATATATCAATTTTTTTATTTTTTCAGTAACTTTTTTTCAAGGTATATTCTATTACTATTGTAATTTTTTTTGTTTATAAATTTTTTCTAAGATATATTTTATTATTATTACAATTTCATTCTTATGAAAAATAACAAAATTTTTAATTTATTTTTTTTCTTTTTCATGTATTTTCTTACATTTTTCATATTTTACATAATAATTTGTTCAAGATTACTAAAGTGAAAGTATGTTAATATTTATTTTATTATATAATTTATCATTCAATAATATATATTTTTATTTTTTTAATAAAAACGTAATTTATTTTTATTTGATATAATCTTACAGGTGTATAAATATTATTGTAAACAAAAATATCTAAAGAAAAGACAAACTTTTTTTACTGTTTTTAGAAATTTTATTTTTTAGTGACAACTATATATATATATATATAATTTTATATATGCTATGAGTTTAAAATATTTGAATAAAATTGAAAAGAAATTAATTTATATATATATATTAAATAAGTAAAATTATTTAGTGCATCGTACAAGTTATAATCTAGTACATAATATATATTATATACTAAAACAATCATTTAATTTTAACTTTGATAATAAAATTCTTATAAAAAACCTAATCCAATAAAACATCGGGATATAATCTTGATCCGTGGACAGATCTATGCATTTGCAAACCAATTAATCCCAGTTTCCTTCACAGCTTCTGCAGGAACATCTTCCATCACCTTCTCTTGGCCCTTGGGATAATATATCCCTGTCCGATCGTGAGGAACCCAGCAACTTCCATCATGATTTGCCGCCATGCTCTTCTTCTTCACTTCCTCAGCCTCCACCTTCATGGAATCTCGTATTGTATCAGCACAACTGTTGCCCTTGCTGTAGTGTTTTCTTATTGTTGGCCTGTTTTCTCAATGCAAATACAGCATCATGCAATAAGAAAAATTAAAATTAAACATGCTCAGCCATATCTAATTTTGATTCAAGGGAAGAGGGTTCCAATAAAATATTTTATGTTTGAAAGATGCATGCACTTATGATGGAGTCAAATATTCGGGTGTTTAAAGTATTTTAGTACTAAAAACAAATATTAAAATACGATACGAAATAGATAAACACAAAGATTAAAATACTACCATATTAAAAAGATCATAGATAAACGTTTTTAACTCATTAAACTTAAAGATATAACTTGGCTATTTGGGGTAAAAGTGGAAAAACTTACTTGGAAAATATGGAGTTCATTGTATGTGCTCCTCTAGTAAATGTTCTTGCCATGTGTGTGCTTTATCTCCCAAGCACAAATCCAAATAGTGCTGAAGTATTGGGCAACTTGCAGTAGGTCATATAGAGGGTAATCAGGAATGGCAATTGGCATTGATAACTGGGATGGAATGCCAACATTTAATCCATTTCTCTCTTTTCGATGGGATTTTAGTTAGGGGACCGTTTCAGCTTTGGTCATGGTCAGTTTCAATGCTCTTTCCAGGGTTATGCAGAAATCGATTTTGATCAAAAAAATTGATCAAAAATCGGTCTATAAATTAAATCAATTTTGATTTTTTCAGTTATATATATTAAATTGATTTGGATTTCGGTTAAATCGATTTAAGCGGTTGATTTTCAGTTTTAAGATTATGAACTGAATTGACTAAAAAAATTGATTAAATATTATTAAAATATTTTATATTTTTATTAATATAATTTTAATATTCTTTTTTATCTTTTATATTTGAGTATTGCTCACTGATTTAGAATTTATGTATTGTTCACTTACTTAGACTTTATAAAGCTTATCTGTTGCTCATTTATATTATTTAATACATAAACTTACTATGTATTGTGTATTATTGACTAATTTAGAGCTTTAGACTAAATTTACTGTATATAAAGCTTGTGTTTATGAAGCTTGTGTTTATGGGAGAATCTACACATTTTCTCATGTAATCTTACTATTATATATTTGATTCCAACATTTGGTTCAGGAAAATCTGATTCCGAGAAAAACTGACAGATTTTCAATAGTACCTAAAGTCCGGAATCAAAACTCCACCTCTTCCTGTGGTATTCTAGGATTCCAGGAGGAGAAAGTAGCATCATTTTCAAAATTGACCTAAATAAAAAATTGTGAAATAGTTGTTACCATTTTGAAAAGTATGTTTGAAAATGAACGCAAGTCAGTTGTAAGTTTTTGTTGATAAAAAAGTTGGTTTATTTATAGCGTTTAGCATAAAAAACGTCTTTAATAATCCTTTAGAAAAAATTGAATGAGATTATTCGAGGTGTTTCTAATCAAAAAGTTGATTTATTTATAGTGTTTAGCATGAAAAACCTCTTTAATAATCCCTTAGAAAAAATTGAATGGAGTTATTCGAGGCATTTCTAGCTAAAAATATTTGAATAATCTCCAAAAATTTTTATAAAAAGATTGTTGAAGGCGTTTTTTGTCAGAAATGCCTTAAATAACCTTTATTAAATTTTTTGTAAGAAATTATTCAAGACGTTTTTTGTTTGGGATTATTCCATACATTTTTTACTAAAAACACCTTAAATAATCCCTTACAAAAATTTTAGTAAAGATATTTAAGGTGTTTATGGCTAAAAAAGCCTTCAATAATCTACTTTAATTTTTATGAAATGTTATTCAAGGCATTTTTGCTAAAAATATCTTGAATAATATCCAATTTTTAGGGTTTAGGATTTAATGTTTAAGGGATTATTCAAGGCCTTTTTTAGACAAAAATATCATTAATAATCCTAAAAAAAAAAGGAATGATTATTCAATACGTTTTTGCCAAAAAAAATATCTTGAATAATCCTCTAGTAAAAAAATTGAAATGAATTATTCAAAGCATTTTATACTAAAATTACATTAAATAATCCCTTATTAAAAATTTAATGAGGTTTATTCAAAATGTTTTATGGCAAAAAAGGCTTTGAATAATCTTCAATTTTTAAGGTTTAAGGTTTAAGAGATTATTTAAAACGTTTTCTAACCAAAAAACTATAAATAATCCAAAAAAAACTAAAAACGCCTTGAATAATCTCCTATATTTTTTTGGATTATTTAAGGCATTTTTTGTCAAAAACACCTTGAATAATCCTTTAGTCAAAAAATTGAAAGGAATTATTCAAGACATTTTTAGCGAGAACCGTCTTAAATAACCTCATTCAATTTTTTGTATAGAATTATTCAGTGTGTTTTTTTATCAAAAACACCTTAAATAATCTAAAAAAAAATAAAATTTATTGAAGGTATTTTTTTTATAGAAAATGCATTAAATAATTCCCTTTAAAAATTGGAGAGAATTATTTAAAATGTTTTTGTGAATAATTCCCTTCAATTTTTATGAGAGGATTATTCAATTTGTTTTTTGCTACAAACACCTTGAATAACTCCATTTAATTTTTTATAAAAATTATTCAAGGTGTTTTCTGGTTAAAAATATATTGAATAATCCCCTTTAATTAAAAATTAGATTATTTAAGTTATTATCATATATACCAATGAGATTATAGTAATTATTCAATATTTAATATATATGGATTCTTCCCAATAAAACAAGCGAATCTGAACAAGAGATGTCCTAAAAATAAAAGAAAATCTTAGGTATTGTATTTTTTTAGGGATCACACTTTCCTCTGAAATCTACGATTTTATGAATGAAACACCAATTGAAGACAAAAAATAAGAAATCATAACTGATTATATTGAAGAAATTGACCAAAACTGAAAAGATTAATTCAATTTGATTTTCTCAATTTTCTAGTACTATTCAATCGATTTGATTTTATTTGTAGATTAATTCTGATAAATCAATTTTAAAATTTTTCGAACCAAATTAATCGAATCGATCGATTGTTCAGTCCTAGCTCTTTCTAGATTAGGATTAAGATAAATTTTTTTTTCTATTTTATTCCTTTATTTTTTCAATTTTTCTAATTGTACAATTTTGCTTAACCTATGTTCACTATTTTTTAAATATCGAAATAATAGAGCATTTCATATACAATAATTACATAATAATTAATCAATTATAAGTCTAAAATATAGAAATAACAATATGAGATTTACAATTTTTATCTTTGTATAATTCAAGATTACATATATTTTAATTTACAGCTAAATTTTGATTCAATAGTCAATAGATATATTTGTTTTACCCAATATTCTGAAACTATCTTGGAACCAAGGGTGATGATGGTTCGATTCGAATCAGATTCAGTTTGATTTTTTTAGATATTGTAAAATATTATGAAATTTTAAAATCCGATCCAAATCTAAACTAAATCTTCATTTAATCCAAACCGAATCAAATTAAATTTTATCAATTTGATTTAATTCAGTTTATCGATTTTTAATTTTTAATTTATATATATACTATTTTAATATAAAATTTTAATATATTTAAATAGATTTTGACATAAAATTATTATTTTTATTTTATAAAAATTTAAAAAATATATAAAAACTAAGAAAAATATATAATTCGGTTCAATTTAATTTTTTTTAAAAATTTTTTACTTTGATTTGAAATTCGATCCGAATATAATATATACATTTAATATCTAAACTTGATCCAAACTAAATAAAAAAATAATCCAAATTGAACTGAACACTATAATTTTGAATTAATTTTCATATTTTTTAATGTTTTTCTCACTCCAACGCTGAAAAACAAAAATTTAAATGCCTAAATTAAAACTAAACCAAATGGCCTACTCAAATAAAACTTAATGACCTAAAAAGCTTATGGCCTAAAAACCAATTAAACATTGGCCCAGAAACAAACAAAAAGGGCTTAATGAAGAATCAAGCAGAGATGGCCCAAAGATAGAATGGCCTATTAAATAATATATTGGATGGCCCAAAATGTGATTTCATTTAATCCGAAAATGAAAAAATAAATAAAAAAAAATCACCTAGCTTCGTGCATGGCTTCCAGGGGCTATCACAGGATAGGTTAATGACTTTAAGATGACTTAGCTCTGATATTAACATGTAGATTTAATCAAGAATAATTAACACAAAATTAAAACGAAACAAAGAATAAAAACAAAGTATGTACGTGCTTGAATAGAATAATTAATTTTATATATTTTATAAAGTTTTAGTTTAGTTTTCTTCTAAAATTTTATATGATGTAGATTTCTATGGATCAAGTGAGCATGGCATTACCAAACACTCCATAGGATATTTTGGAATAACCACAGAGATAAGCAGAAGGGAGTTGGCCAACTTGCTTCTTCAATATTTTTCTTACTTCTGAAGAAGACTGTTTTGGTTCATTTCAAGTTTTTAGGTATATATAAAATAAGAATTCGAATCTTACCGCTCCATCTCTTATTTTTTGAAAAAAAATATATAACAGTTAAATAAATTTTCGATCTGTCGTTTTCATGTATTTTAACATGTTATTGATGAACTTTGATATTAAATTTATACTTATCTTTTATTTTAGTTTAAAAGGTTACAATCTAAAAATAAAAAAATAAAATTTTTTATTTTATTCTTTTTCTTTTGATGTTATCATTAGGATTTTTTTAAATTGATGAAGATCGTAATGTTAGGGTTGAGACTCCAAAAACTAAATCATTGAACAAAATATCAAATGCCTAACTTAGAATGAAAACGAATACTAAAATCTAGAAGGTAACATCCCAACTTACTAAAAATTTTGAAATAGTGGTCTAAACGAAAATCTCAATCATTTTCAAAGAAAATATATAAAATCAGTAGCTAGTTTTCTTATTGTCCTGACCACAATAGGGCCTTATAAATCAAGATCTTTCCAGGAAAAATTGATTAGGATAAGTATAAAAGGAATCGAATTAGCCTTTTTTTTATTGCATAGTTATAAAAAAAGTCTATAAATTATGATTAAATTAATTTGTAACCCGTGTGATGCACAGATTATTTTTATTTTATTTAAATATTAATAAAAATATAAATTAATATTATTTAATTATTTACATGTTGAAAATTATATAAAATATAAACAAATATAATTAAGATATCAAATCATAATAAAAAATAATTTTAATTTAAAAAAATTGATCAAATTTAAAATATGAATTTGATGAGGAGGAAGTATAGAAAATTACAAATTTTTATACAAAGTAATAATTAATGGGTCATTTATATTATATATAATATGATACTTTGTTGTTTGGTTACTATTAATTATCAAATTACTACTCAATTTGTAGAAAAAACGACATTGATATAAAAATAATTGATATAAAAGTAACTGAATATAGAAAAGAAGTTCTTAGTCTTTTACTCTTATCTTAGATGATTGAATCTCTACTTCTTCTTGCGAAATCATCTAATAAAACACAAATCAACTGATTATTTCACAAACATATAAATAATATAGTTACAAATTACTATTTTTCTAAAAAAAAATGATGGGTGACTATGACTGCGAGTGAAACGATAAAAAATTTTTATTGACGCCTTTCATTGTTATTTCAGATATAGAGTTGAAAATAATAACAATAAAATAATAGATAATTGTGACTGGAATTGAATTTTTAAAATAATCTAATGATAAGGAAATTAAAAAATAAAACTTGTCTTTTAAATTCAAAATAATAAAAGATAAATCCAATCAATTTTAGTGGAGATATGTATTTAAAATTTATGATGCATATAAATATATATATATATATATATTCTTAAAATTTTGCTAAATTTAAAAAGAAAAATAAATTCTAAATTTGATATTTTTGAATTCAAATTTTGTACAAATTTTTAATTTTTCATAGATTTTCTTTTTGAATTTAAATAATTTATTAAATGTAATTATTTTATAAATCAATTTTAGAGATAATATATCTATGAAAATTTTAAATTTAAAAAGATATTTATTTAGATTATTAGAAAATCCTAAAAAATAATATATCTAAATTAGATTTTGTTACTAATTTAAAATTATCTATATATATATTTGGATAATTAAATAATATATAAAAAGTGGTCATTCATTTAAAATTTGAAAATTTTAGATAATTAAATAAAATTTTAAATATATATTTTTTATAAATGACCTAAAATTAAGAAATATCTTAGGTGTCATTATAGAGAAATTTTAGAAATTTTTTTATTTGTCAAAAAAAGAAATCATCCACCAAAGCATCTATATTAATTTTTTACTATGTAACTTTGTATGTTATAATATATATATATATATATATATATATATATATATATATATTAGATTGGTGCTAGTTTGAATTCTTCCTAATACCTCTATACCTTTTATAGAAAATGGAAATTGTTGATTAATAAGAGTAAAATTGACTTTGGCCTTGGCATTAGCTCAAACACTAAATAGTTCTACGAGGTTGGTTATTTCACTTTCAAATTTCAAAATTTACAAACCCAAAAGAAGTAGAAATGTTAAATTGTCTTAATTTTGCTTTAAAATAAGTTTCAAATACAATTAAGATGATAGTAGATTTTCGATACTAAAAAGAAAACCTATTTGAATTACATCACATAATTCTTTTTTAAATTGGTGGCTATACAGAGACTTGCATATGATTTTCCTTTAAATTACATATTCTTAGTTGTTGGGAGGGTTGGTTCAAGTATATATTTGATCATTCAAAGAGTTGAATTTATTTTTGAGTCTGATAAGAAAAGTCATCTCATTGATCTTTTGTATGCATAGAGAGAAATTGTAGTTCATTAAAAGGAAATGTGAGACTATCATATATGGACTTGCTTATTGAAATTCTTTTATCCATATATTTTTCAATTCAAGTTAATTATTGGATATATTTGTTTTGATGAATATTAACTCTTCAAGGTGCTAATTCATTTATCTAGTCTCATTGAATTAATAGGTCAAAGATAATAAACATAAATAATCATATAAACTTAAATCTCTAGAGTCGCCAAATTATCATATAAATACTAAATAAAAATATTATCAAAATCAATACAACTATCCTATTTGTGATAAATCTATCCCAAATGCTATTTCATTTTCTTCCATCTTTCTTGGCAGCAGACTTGGTGACCTTGGCACTATATTGATATTTCTTTTCAACAATCTTGATGACTCCAACAACCACAATTTGGCACATGTTCTTGATAGCAAAATGTCCAAGAGGTGGGTACTTAAAAAAAGTTTCTAAAACCATTCCTTGCCTAGAAGCTAAAAATTTTAAAAAGTTTAAGAAATATTTAGAAGCTAAAATCAAGAGAAAAAAAAAAAGACAAAAGTGCCTTGAAAACTCGAAATAAAGGTATCAACTTCTTTGAAAACCAATGAGCCAAATTTTACAGCTCCTTTTTTATGATTCATTTACTGGCCTACACATGACTACATCTGATTATGGACTAAAATAAGTAAATAAAAATATTTGAGATTTTTGTACTGAATTTATACTCTAAATACTAAATAAATAAAGAGTTGAAAGATAAAAAATATTACCTGATTGAATGTATTGATTAAGAGAATAGATGTTCAAAAGATGTAAATTAAGAACTAAAAAAATTCAATCTCATTTGCTACACCAATTAACTGTTTAACCACACTTGTTTACAGTATGAGTTTGCAGGTTGGATACGTCAAACTAGAAACAAAAGCTCCTTCACTGCAACCGAAAGATGATGATGCTGAAGCTTCTCAGTAACCTAAGGCTGAAAGTACTGATGTCTCCAATATGGAAATAAACTCCATAGAAACAAATGTCCCTTCACCAGCTGTGGATGAAACTAATGCATAAATTAACTTGGATGAAGCTAGAGTTATTTTATGGTTAGAGGCATTATTCATTCGATCCCCTTCTCATTGGTGCACCAAATCATTTTTTCCAATTTGTAGATGTTTATCTAATCCTATCTTAGTTGTAAAGAGCTATACTTTTGAGCTATAATCCTGAACATTAGAAAATAGTTGGTTGCTCAACTGGCTTTTCCAATGATTGAATGAATTTAGACAGAAATGCTTAGTAGTATAATGAAGTAACCATTTGCTAATATTCATTATTTTTTTCCATTTTTTCTACCTATTCATTTTGGGTAAGAAAGTAGAAAAAAAATTTAATGTAATGGTTGAAATATAAAATAACACGTTATTGAGGTAATGATGTTCGTAGGTAATTTTACATTGAGGATCAAACGTATATTAAGGATTTGAGCAATGGTCGGTGGGCTTTTCCTCAAGTTTTCACTGTAGATATAGATATGGTTTGCTTTTATTATTTTATCATTATTTTAAAGATAAATTATTTTAAAATTAATTTTAAATTAAAAAGAGATGATGTATAAGAGAAAAGAATTTCATTAAAATTTAAATTGATTTTTGATTAAATTTTAAAATTTTTAGATAATTTAATAAATTTTAAAATATATGTTTTATAAATAATTTAAAATTAATAAATATCTTATGTGTTATTATAATAAGAAATCTTAGAAATTAATCTTATGTGTCAAAAAAAAATTATCCATTTAAGTATCCACGTCAGCAAATATTACTTGATAATTATGTATGTTATAATATAATATATATATATATGATAATTATTTAAATGTTTATTCTTTTATTATAACAAATTAAAATTTTCAACATTTATTTTTATAGATTAAATTTGTATTAAACAAAAATTAATTAACTGTAAATATTTATTTTTATCTAATTAAAAGTTTAATTAAAAAAAAATGCTTAAAGACTTAATTTGATAAATATTAATATTGAAAGGTTTATATGATTGTAATAAAATGATTGAGATTTTAATAATTATTTAATTTTTTTAAAATAATTTTTCTATATTTAAGCCTTTTTTTTAAGTGAAATCACCCAAAACAACAATAATAGTATTAAAAAAAAAACTAATTTCTCATACTCCTAACTTTCTTTTTTCACATTTTAAAATTTTTTTATCTAAAATTGTTAGAAATTACATTTTAATTATTAAAATTAAAAATTTAATATTTGATTACGAAAATGTATTAAAATCTGATTGAATCAAATGACCTGATTGGAAGGTTCAAATTCACCTTAAACAATTTGATTGCTTTTCAAGTGGTGTTAAAGTAGCAGGATTTTAACGTGCACATTGACTGAGAAAATCAAATAAAAAAGCCTGATGTGATGTGCCAGAGAAGCCGTAGATACGACGAAAGTTCGCATCAATTCAGATTTAATTTTGAAATAACGCATGTGAGCCACGTGTAAACACGTAAATCTTCTTATCCACTCCAACCAAATCACGGTTCCCTTGTAACTTTATCAGTTACAGTAACGAATTTTTCTTTTTTTTTTTTTGTAAATAACTGACATTATCCAATCTCTTTTATATATAGAAATATATATATATATATATATATAGAACAAACTTCTCAAGAGAAAAAAAAAAAAACCAGAAAACATATACCTTTTTCAGTTCTACATTTAAAAAATATAATTAATTCATTTTTAAATTTAATAATTAAATAATTTTTAATTGATATCTATAAACAATTGACTTGTCCATCGGTCACGAACTGAGTCACGATGTTAATGAAAACGTTTTTTTCTCACGTGCATCAGTACATCAACGTGTCAAATCACAAACCAGATCTTATTTCAGTTTTATTCTCAAGCATAAATGGGTAAATTTATGTAATTTTTTCTTAACATTTATTTAGGTTTATTTGTTTTTGAACACTATTTTTTACTGTTATATTGTGGATAAGTATTTATCTTATAATTTTAATTAATTTTTTGTACAAGTATTTTTGGTTGTATATTATTGATAATAATCAATCATCATAATTTGAATTAATTTATCAACTCCAAATTTTAATTTTTAGTTTTTATTAGATTATTTTTAAATAATGGACTAGAATAAGAGAATCATACCTATAATTTAACTTCGAATTTATTTTAAAAAATAAGAAAAAATAAACAAAAAGGATTAAAAATAAAAAAATTAAAAGATAAAAAAAATAGTTGAAAATATCAAAACATAGAGAATATGCCTTGAAATAAACCTTTCTTAACTATTACTCAAAAAGTTCGGTACTAATGATAGAATAAGATAAAATAATCATAAAACAGCCAAAACAAAAGTCTCTCGGACCAAGCAAGCCGCAAGTGGATAAGTCTCCCTCTCACCAACCCCACAAAACACGAATTTCCTACACGTCACCCACCAACCGGTCCGCCCCATTGGATAAGGATCTTTCCTCGTTCTCCCCTTCACTTTTCCCTCTATATTTAAACAGTCCCTCCCTCTGAATTTCTTCTATTCCAATTCCATTATCAACCAAAAACCTTCTTTCTTTTTCTCTGCCAATCGTTTTATACCGAATCTCATATTTGGATTTGGAGCTTTCTTGGCTTAGAACAAGGTTTCGAGCTTTGGGTTGTTTTGGCTTTCAAGATTTGAGTTTTGGGTTGACTTTTTTTTCTGATTATGGCGAGTGCTATCGGGATGATTGGTGGGAACGGCTCTTTTTCATGGATGCAAGTCAGGGGCAAGGGAAAGGAGAAGACTGTGAACAGAGTTAGATTTTGCTGTTCTGCTTCTTCTGTTATAGATCCGTACAAAACTCTCAGGATCCAACCTGGTGCATCTGAATCTGAGGTCAAAAAGGCCTTCAGGCAACTTGCCCTTCGGGTACATTCAATTAATCCCATCTTTCTTCCTTGTTCTTGCATTGTTTTTTCTAATGAAAGCTTTATTTTGTTTTCAATGATTTGGTCATTGATGGGTTTTTTGTTTTTTAAAATTTATTTCAGTATCATCCGGACGTTTGCAGAGGAAGCAGTTGTGGGGTTCGGTTTCAAACGATCTATGAAGCTTATGAAGTATGTTCATCTTTACTTTCTATAAGACAGTAGTGTTAAATTATTCTTGGTATCATTAAGATTTGTTGCGTGTAGTGTGGAGATCAAATTGTTGATCTGATATTGTGATTTGCAGATTGTGATGAGTAATTTGAGAGGCAAGTCGAAGGAGTCCCAAATGTTTGAGGCATATCATGATCAAGGAATCGAGAAGACAATGAAGTACGCAGATGGGGAGTTGTGGGAAGAATGGATGGGATGGGAAGGAGCTGGAATTCGTGACTACTCATCCCATATTAATCCTTACATTTGAACAAAACTGTATATTTAGAACCAAAAATGGTGGTTGTACCTTTGTATATATAAAATGATTGTGGGACGAGTTATTTTTCTTTGTATGTATGTGGCTTAAGCTGAGAACAATTTATTGATGCTTCAATTGATGCTTCCATTTCTTGCCCTAATAACTCTAGACATGTTCAAAATTAGTTTTCAATTGAATTAGTAGATTAAATTGATTTAATTTGATTAATTAATTGATTATTAAATTAATTTCGAAAAATTATCAAAAATAATTTTTAAAAAATTTTAATTATTTATTAATTAAACTAAAAAATTGAATTAATCAAAACTTTAATAGAAATCTTATAAAGTTTATATATAAAACTAAAAAATATATAAATTTCATCATTTTATTTTATAAATTTTTAAAGTTTTTAATTCAATAGTTTGATATTTGAATTTTTTGTTATATGATTTCATTAAATTTATTTTAAATATGAAAAATTAGAAATTTAAAAAATAATTTAATTTAATGCATTTATTATTTGATTAATTTAAAAATTAAATCCATTGATTAAATTAATTTTGTTCTTTAAATTTTGAAACTAAAAAATTTGATTCAACAAAAAAAAATTATTTAATTAATTTAATTTTAAATAATTAAATTTAAAACAAATTAAATGAATATTTCTAATTTTAAGCTTTCAACTTATTTCCTTTTTTTTTTTACATTTTTGTTTTTTATTTTTTTTTACAAAAAATGTCATAGTGTAAGAATAAAATATAAAAATGATAATTGTTAAATTTTAAAATTTGAACCTGTTAAATATTAGTTTTTGAATGTAATTTCATAAAGCAAAAGTTAATTTTTTATTTTTTTATGTTGATCACACAATTTGCAAATCTAACGTACAGTTTAACAATCAAACCATCAATCATGCGAAAATAGTAAAAAAGAGCGTGCAAAAAGCAATGGTCAAACGGAAGAAAAGCAAAAAGGAAAAGCGGGTTTTGGGCCATTCCTTTTGTTTTGGTCCATTGGCCAAGAATTTTCTTAAATGACCCAAACTTAAAACGACTTCAAAATTTCAAATCCAATTTTTGATTTGATGGGGTTAGGGAAGGAATACACCAAAACGAGAGAATATTGGTGATGTAATAATGGCATATTACAATGCATCCTACGTAGATGTCATGTGACATTAATAATGTGCTTGCCCAATTGGAATGATATAAATGATTTAAATTGAATGAGTGGTTCTTTCTCATTTCTAAAATTATTGAATTAGGAGAAAAAATTACAAGACTATCAAAATGGCCTCATTTTTCTTAATTTATTTTAGTTTTACTGCATTCGGAAAGAAAAATGTAAAGAGAATTTATTTCCTTCTATGATTCTATTGTTTGTTTATTTACAACTATTTGCTCAAAATAAGAATACTGAACTTAAAAGTATTCATTGATCAGATGAGGTTAGGAATTGATAACCTTTAGGGTTTGCTCATGGCTAAATTTGGCCATTTCTAAAAAAGATTTGTATGTATCATGTAAAATATAAATAATTTGTATAATTATATTATATTTTATATAAAAATTATATATTATAATTCGCATCAATATGAAATATATTTTTTATTTTATTAAATTTATATATAATTTTTATTAAAATTTTAAATTATATTATTTTCATATATTTTTTTTTATCATTTTTGTGTTTTATTATCATATTGTATTTTAGAGTATCATGTCTATTAAAAATTTGATTAAATTTATTATTATTTAATATTTTAAAGATTACTTTTATATTATATATTAATAGATTTTTTAATATTTTAATAACATTTTAAAGATGTTTAAGAATTAAAATTAAATAAAAATAAATTTTTATAAATAAAATAATAAATCTAGCCCGATCAAATTTAACTTAAAAATTTTTATCCAAGTCTAACTTAGGTCAGTACATGTGTAGGTCTACAGCAATTAAACATTTATACTTTTGGTTTTTAATTTCATCTATCATAATAATCAAAGCTTAATCTAGCGGTAGTTTCCATTTAATCCGAAAATGAAAAATTAAAGAAAAATCACCAAGCTTCATGCATGGCTTTCGGGGGCAATTACAGGATAGGTTAATGACTTTAAGATGAGTTAGCTTTGATATTAACACGTAGATTTAATCAAGAATAATTAACATAAAATTAAAACGAAACAAAGAATAAAAACAAAGTATGTATGTGCTTGAATAGAATAATTAATTTTATATATTTTATAAAGTTTTAGTTTAGTTTTATTCTAATATAGAGGAAATAATTGAAAATACCAAAACATGGGGAATATACCTTAAAATAAAACTTTCTTGATTATTACTTAAAAATTTTGGTACTAATAATAGAATAAAATAAAATAATCATAAAATAGCCAAAACAAAAGTCTCTCGGACCAAGCACGCAGCAAGCGGCCACCCACCAGCCGGTCCGTCTCGTTGGATAAGGACCCTTCCTCTCTCTCCCTCTCTCTACCCTTCACTTTTCCCTCTACATTTAAACAGTGCCTCCTTCTGTAGTTCTTCTATTCCAATTCCATTATCAATCATAAAGCTGCTTTCTTTTTATCTGCCAATCGGTTTATATAGAATCTCATATTTGGATTCGGAGCTTTCTTGGCTTAAAACAAGGGTTCGAGCTTTGGGTTGTTTTGGCTTTCAAGATTTGAGTTTTGGATTGACTTTTTTTTTTTTTTTTTCTGACTATGGCGAGTGCTATCGGGATGATTGGTGGGAGCGGCTCTTTTTCATGGATGCAAGTCAAGGGAAAGGGGAAAAAGAAGACTGTGAACAGAGTTAGAGTTTGCTGTTCTGCTTATTCTGCTATGGATCCGTACAAAATACTCAGGATCGAACCTGGTGCCTCTGAATCTGAGGTCAAAAAGGCCTTCAGGAAACTTGCCCTTCAGGTACTTTTAATCAATTCATCTTTCTTCCTTGTTCTTGCATTTCTTTTTCTAGTGAAAATTTTATTTTGTTTTCATTAATTTGATCATTGATGGGTTTTTTTTTTTTTTTTATAATTTCAGTATCATCCGGACGTTTGCTGGGAAAGGAATTGTGGGGTTCAGTTTCAAACAATCAACAAAGCTTATGAAGTATGTTCATCTTTAATTTCTATCAGACAGTAGTGTTAATTTGTTCTTGGTTTCATTAAGATTTGTTGCGTGTAGTGTGGAGATTAAATTGTTGATCTGATATTGTGATTTGCAGATTGTGATGAGTAATTTGAGTGGCGACTCGAAGGAGTCCCAAATGTTAGAGGCATATCATGATCAAGGAATCGATGAGCCAATGAAGTACCCAGTTGGGGAGTTGTGGGAAGAGTGGATGGGATGGGAAGGAGCTGGAATTCGTGACTACTCATCCCATATTAATCCTTTCATTTGAACAAAACTGTATATTTAGAACCAAAAATGGTGGTTCTCCCTTTCTATATATAAAATTTAAATCCAAGTTTTGATTTGATGGGATGGGAAGGAATATACCAAAACGAAAATGACATTTTAATTTCTGATGGCTTTGCTTTGGCCACGTAGATATCATGTGACATTAACAATGTGTTTGCCCAGTTGTAATGATATAAATGATTTAAATGAGATTCAGTTTTTATAAATAAAATAATTAAAAGTGTCAATAATTAACTGAAAATAAAATAAAGAAAAACTTAATAGAATTGTAATCAAATGAGATTAAGTGAAAAAAAGAAAAGACTTATAAAATTGAAGCTTCCAAACACGAGATCGTTGCACAAAAGTGACGTCAATATAATGAAATTGACGGTTGAACAATCAAATAAATATATATAAATTTAATTAAAAAAATTTTATAAATAAATTAATATTATTTAACTAACCGTATATAAATTTACATATTAATAATATATTAAATATAAACTAAAAAAAAAAGTTAAAAGTTGAGTTCTTTTTTTTTTTTTTAATTTATAAAATTTACAACTCCCTTGCTTTTGTTATTATAAATTTAGGCTTTTTCGGCCAAAAAAAAAAGTTTAGGTTATAGATTTTAAATTTTAATTGTTAACCTAAATTAATACTGAAAACATACTTTTCCTAAAATTTAAAAATAATTACTGCTTTATTAATACTCAAATAAGGTAAAGTGAATTTTTTATGCAAAAAAGATTTTTGTAAATTTGATAATTTTAAACAAAATAAATGATATGAAATGAAAAAAAAATATTAAAACAATGTGATCTAAAATTTTAATAAAAATTATATAAATTTAACAAATATAATATTTCATACATAACATATAAACATAAATTATAATAAAATAATAATCATATTTTACATATATTTAATATCAAATAAGTAAGTATGAATATATAAATTCCCATAACCAAATTTGTTTTCTTTTCTAATTTTTTTACAGAGAGTTTGTGTATTTCAGAAAAAAAAAAAGCCGCATGTTTTTTGTCTTAAAAATTACTAATCAAATATCCTTTGCTTCCCAAACAAACCCAGACGTACTATTCAGACCACGCAGGACCAACAAAACCAACAAAACCAACAAAAACACTCTTGGCATCGAAACCCCCCTTTTTCTTTTATTAAAACCAAAATTTTCAATCATAGATTCTTCATCAAGATTATCGTCTTAGCTAATTGAGTAAAAATTACACCGCTTCTCCTCAACTTTTTAAACAGTTTTTTTTTAATAAATAAATTAAAATATTAATACATGAAATTTCGTAATCGAATCGGAGTTTCTACCTTTCTCACTAAATCTTCCTCTTCTCAATAATCCGCTGCTGCCAAGGTACTTTTCCAAATCTAGGGTTTTTTTCCTGAATTTTTTATGTTGTTATAATTTGATTTACTAATCCAATAATTTATTCGCAGCTTTTTGTTGTTGCAACTTGATTAATTAATCAACGGCTGTGATTAAATCTTCTTCACCTTCCTCTGGGAGTTAATCTTTGTTTATTCATTCGAGGTAAGCTAGTTTCTTTCTCCTTGGAACAATTTGATTTTTTGTTGCTGTTTTCTTTTATTTTTTTAATTATCTTGAGTCTTGAGTTGGAATTTAATGGATTTTGTTCTTTATTGTCAATTTTATTTATATTTTTTTATGGTTCTGTTTAGTTTAATTATAAGGCTATGGAGGGAAGTAGGCTAATTTTGAAGTAGCATTTTAGGTGATATCCTGATGATTAACTTTGTCACTCTTTTGCTGAATTATTCATGGTTTAATAGATTTTCGATCTCAGGCTGCGGAAAAAGTAAAATTGTTATGGTTTCTAATTCATTAGCAAAGATGATTAATCTAATTATTAAATTGATATTCAGGCTTTAAAGTAAAACGGTCTTTGGGTTATGATCGTTTGTATACACATATAATTGAGTAGCTTTTTGACTTTGTTGGAAAAGTGGGCTTCTTAAGACCTAAAGCCATTTTTTATCCAGGGTTTTATGAGAACTTGTTTTTATAGTGTCGTGATTAACTGGTTTTGTTATGTGTTTCAGAATAATATGTCAATGGCGGACCTAAAAGAGCGTCTGCTTCCGCCGAAACCTCAATCGGCTGTAAACCTTAGAGATGCTTCTTATCGGGCATCTGCCTCTGGACGCCAACCTTTCCAAGGCATGGATTTATTGGGGTTAAAGAAGCGGGGCCAAGGACTTCGATCTTGGATCCGTGTTGATATATCTGGGAATTCCCAGATCATTGAGGTTGACAAGTTCACTATGATGCGTCGTTGTGATCTACCGGCCCGGGATCTACGGCTTCTGGATCCTTTGTTTGTTTACCCCTCAACAATCCTCGGTAGAGAGAAGGCTATCGTTGTAAATTTAGAGCAGATACGGTGTATCATCACTGCTGATGAGGTTCTACTCTTGAATTCCCTTGATAGCTATGTTTTGCACTATGTTGTAGAGCTACAAAGGCGACTAACAACTGGAGTAGGTGAGGTTTGGCAATCAGAGGGTCCTGAGTTGAACAGAAGAAAAAGCAGTAGGGGTTTTGACAATATATATGGGAGCACATCCCCTGATTATTTGCCCTTTGAGTTTAGAGCTCTTGAAGTTGCTTTGGAAGCTGCCTGTACATTCCTTGATTCACAGGTGTGTGAAAGGAGACTAAAATGTCTTATTGTGTTTGAATTAAATGAGTGATGATAAACAAATGGTACTTCTATAAATATAAACTTGTTGTCCTAAAATCATTCACCTGAGAATATAGCTTGCTGAAAAATGGAGGGCTTGAAAATTTTTGTTCCAATTCATGAATTGGAGATTGAACATTAAAATAGCATGTGTAGTATGAACAAGTATCGGTTTTATTTGAACTGATTAAAGTTTTATACATTTAGAATTTTTAGACTCAACAACATCCTCTCTCTCTCTCCATCTTCCCACCCCTCCTCTTTTTGTCCACAAAAGTTACAACCTTCATACCCCTTAATATAAATAATGTGCTTTTGTTTTGTGATTAAGTATCAATTTTTATTTGATGACTTAAAAAAAATTTTGGCTGGAAGATACATCAATTGCAGATTTGTTTTTTGATTGTTGGGGATGGTTAGCTACTGTAAAGATTAAGGAAAATAAATAAGGCATATAACACCAAGTCATATGAAATAATGTTGCATGTTCTTGATACTTGCCTTTGGCCGTGTTTTTCATCGTTATTTGTTGGGTTGTAATACACTAATATAAACGATGTGGAGAAGAGCATTTCTTTTTGCTTTATTTGGCTGCTATACTGAAATTCCTGGCTGCAAAAGATCTTTTCTGTGTACATGCACATGATTGTTAAGCAAATTCTCCCATTAGCTTTACTGTAGTCTAAGATATATTTCTTTGTTATTTCTTTAAGGATTCTTTTAAAATTCAATTTTGTCATGGTCCTTGTTATTGAATAATATTTTCATTGGGGGAATTTGCGCTGAACTAGTCTCCATATTTTTTATGGTCTTTTTGAGTCTCATCTGACTAGACTGGCACATAAATACACATTCTTTAGCCTGTTAGGGATGACTCTTAAGTTTGGGATGTTCCATGTTGGAGATTAAAAGTGCTCTCTGGAGAACTTGTATTCAGTTACTATATCTTTCCAGCATCATATTTTGATGGTTTGGTTGAGTTTCACCTTGAACTAAAAGACACATAGATATCAATAGGGTCCGTGATATTTTTAAATTTACCTTTGAAGATTCTGAATTGGAAGGTATTGTAAGATGTAAGAAATTTGACTGGTAGGTGAAGCTAAACATCACTGACATGAGTTGTATTCTAGTACCTTTCATCTATATGGTTGTCCAGAGAGATGGCTGCTGGGAAGATTGGTTGGATCGAGCTGGTTGTTTTGGATTGGATCATTTTAGGTGTTGACTTCTGACCTTTCCCGATCCTTTCAGCTGTGAATCATGAAGTTTTGAAACTGGGAAGATGCGTTTGGATATCAATGGCAGATTTTTTTCACTAGCTTTCTTGAACTTTTTATCTGGAGCAACCTTATATTCTGTTGAAGTAACAACATATCAAAGGGGAAAAAGCTTCTTGAGACTGGAGTTTAGTTGTCTATGGTATGAATATTGAAAATTTGAGAATTTGAGTATTTCTTTTTGAGTGGGGACAGCAACTGAAAGAACCCAGAGTTTTGAAACCTTTCCCATCAAGTATCTTCTTCCAAAGAATCATGATCACCTGTCATGGTGGATTCCAAAATATATGGGGCCTGCTAAAGTGGATTGTTGAACACCTCTGCAATTGTTGCTTGTACTAGCAAGAAATCTTCTTATGTATGAGAATGAGAGGTTGAATAAACAGCAATGAGAACCTTGACACTTGAAATCTGTGTAGCTTGAAAATGAATTAATTCAAAGAAGTAAACTTTAATATGCAATTTTACTGTGAATATTCCTGCCCAGGCAGGTTGCTTGGCTTGGAAGAGAGGCAGCTAATTGCCAATACTGAACTTCTAGGATCTGTAACTTTTGTTTATTTTTTCTCGAATCTTAGATGACTTGGATGACATGTATGTTTTCTTGTATTTCTTAAAATAAAGTTGTTTATTGTGTCCCAGCCCAATACGCCGCAAGTCAGTCACAGCACTCAGTAACCCTTATTTCATAGAGAGAATATTTTATAAATTCTGTGTCCTAACCTTTCATGCTCTTACTATAGTTTGTTGTGCTGGCACATGTTTTCAAACACAGCTCCTCTATGATATCTTATTTTTTCACTTTTCTTTGGAGCCCTCCCAAGTATTTATTAGGTATGAACAAGAGTATGGATTTTAACAATCTTGGTGGATGCAGAGGAATTATCAGATGAAATGTGTGGATTTGCTCTGATAATTGAACTATCAAAATTTGACATCTAATATTGTATTTTAACCATGTCCATAATCTACTAGTTGGACTGCTGGGTCCCCTTTTTTTACTGTCAATATTTTCTTTTGTTTGCATTTGTTTACTTTTGAGCATGTTGGTAACTCATTTGATGTTCCAAAGGCAGCAGAATTAGAAATTGAAGCATATCCACTATTGGATGAGCTTACATCAAAGATCAGTACGTTAAACTTGGAGCGTGTCCGCAGATTAAAGAGCAGACTTGTTGCCTTGACTCGAAGAGTTCAGAAGGTTTTAAAGTATTTGCATTTCTGTTTTTGTTCTCTCTCTCTCTCTCTCTCTCTCTCTCTCTCTCTCTCCTTCTTTTTGGCAGGTAAATGATAGCCTTGCATCTTCTGACACTTTCCCAATCTTTGGGTATCCTTTTAGGTTAGAGATGAGATAGAGCAGCTAATGGATGATGATGGAGATATGGCGGAAATGTATCTTACTGAGAAGAAGAGCAGGATGGAGTCATCATTTTATGGTGATCAATCTTTGATGGGATTCAGATCAAATGATGGCCTCTCTCTTTCTGCTCCAGTTTCTCCTGTTTCTTCACCCCCCGAATCCCGCAAACTGGAGAAAAGCTTGAGCATTGCAAGGAGCCGCCATGAGAGCATTAGGAGTTCAGAGAGCACTACAGAAAATATAGAAGGGCTGGAGATGTTACTGGAAGCATACTTTGTTCTCATTGATAGCACCCTAAATAAGTTGACTTCGGTATGCAGAGCACTTATTGCTAGTCTAAATCTTTTTCATCTTCCTTTCTCTTGGATGGATACAATATTATTTTCTTCTTGTTTCAGTTGAAGGAATACATAGATGACACAGAGGATTTCATCAACATTCAGCTGGTATGCTATTTTTCCTCCTTGATAGAAAAGTTTGTTACTGAAGTATTTATCTACAAACCTAAAGTGGAGAAGCTAAAACCCCAAAGCCCCGTTGCCATTCGGGTCCCACCCACCACACTGGCACTGTGCATCCAATTGGCAAGTGATATATTGATTCTTAGATTGCCATCTGATTAGCACATTTGTTGAAAATTGCTTAGACTGGAAAAATTAACAGGATGAAAGCTTTGGATCTTTGCCAACTTTATTATGACGCTAAGAACATGATTGCAGGACCTAGAATTCAACTATATTCTCAAAAACTAGCCCTTCCTCTTTCTCTCTTCATGTTTCTTGATATTTCACCCCCTCCCTTCCCTCCACTGCTGCTACTGATGATCTCTTCCTTTATAATAGGATTAGATAGAGAAGTAATGATTTCTGATACTACGTGGGTAACTTTGAATTGTGCAAATTTGTCAAAAAGCATCTGACTTTCGATATTTATGGACAAACTTTGGCTTGAAGGATAATGTTCGAAACCAGCTGATCCAATTTGAGCTGCTACTCACAACCGCGACATTTGTTGTTGCCATTTTTGGGGTGGTAGCAGGAATATTTGGCATGAACTTTGCGATACCTATGTTTGATGACCCAGATGCATTTAAGTGGGTCCTCATCGTTACTGGGGTTTGTGGGATCATCATATTTTGTGGCTTTGTGTGGTTCTTCAAGTACAGAAGACTTATGCCTCTATAAGGAAACAAAAGAGAAGGCAGTTTTTCCATCATTGTTGTTATCAATTATGTACCCTGCATATGGAACGAGAGAAACACCAAAAAGATGGGTCTCATTTTAGAGCCAATTCTTTTGTTGCAGTCGCACATCTTTAACTGTACAATAACTTCAGCTCTAGGAAATTAAATTTTATTGAATTTTTTCTTGTTGTGTGGTTAAAGTTATACCATAGCTAATCCGAGAAAGCAAGAGTGTAATCGATCGAGTTTGAGTTGATATAATTTTAAGTTTGAGTTTGAGTTCAGTTTTAAATTTGAGATTTAAAAGTCGGCTCAAACTAGATCGAATTTTATTTTTGTAGCTCAAACTTGACTTGAGATAAAAATCGAATTATTCGAGTTTGTTCGATTAAGTTTGATTAATATATAAAAATAAATTTGATTTTTATATTCCATAAAAAATTTAATTATTTGTTTTCGAGTTTAAACTCAAATTTAAAATATTTTATCAATTAAAATAATTAAAATATATTAAATATAAAAAATTTGATTAAGCTTATAAGAAACTCAAGTTAGATATAAGAATGTTTGAATTCAGTTTAATCGATAAATTAAGTTATTCGAACTTGATTCGATAATAATCGAGTTGAATTTAAATTTTATTTAAATCAAATTTAAATAATTTATGAGTATTAATATATCATTTACATTCTTAAAAAAAGGAAAATAATGGTAGAATTGAACATGATTGGATCCGGTGTTAGAACTGGTTTGGCTGGGTTATGACGTTCGTACAAATTAAGGGAAAACTGTAGATTTCTTGTATCTTTGACTAAAATAAGTGATAACAGAAAAACTTGGTCAAAGTCGTTCCAATGGCTTACTCCTGTCGTGCTAAAACGATTCTTCACCTGCCAACTAGAGGCGTCCACAGCTCAGGCTATCGTTCTATATTTTTTTAAAGTTTTATAAATATATATTCCGGTAACGCAAATACATCCATGCCTTGGAATGTATAGATTGAGGCAGAGGGCTTCTACGGAGCATCTCTATATATGTAAGGATAGAAATATGGATTTGAAGTCTTTCAAGATTTTATTTTATTTTAATTCAATTTGTTCATCTTTAGTTGGTTTTCGTCTTTAAATTTAAAGATATAAAATGTTCTAAGAACAACAAGTGTACAAATTTGATTTCTATTCGTTTATTGAATTTAACGAATGATTATATATAATATTTAAAAATTTATTAATTAAACGAATAGATTATGAACATAACAAAATTCATTTATGATCGATTCGATTACATCTAATAAACATCCACAAGACAGGTTTAAAAAATTAAAAACAAAATAAAACAATACTTAATAATAAAAAACTACATCAATCTTAAGTTTGATTGAAAATTTATTCCTAGAAAAGATAATTTGGTCAAACAGACACCAGAGGCAAAAATGTTGATTTATCAATAAGATGATCAAAGAATACAAGGCAGCAAGAGCTTCCATGCTGATTATCAATAAGTTACTGAAGGAAACACTTTAACTTGATCAAAGAACTCAACTATTATTTAGAAGAAGAAAGTCGTTGACTCCTTGCTTTGTCAGCTTTTTCCAAGTAATCTTGGTGTGACTGATGCTTTGTTCCTACAGGGAATCAGGCGTTCGTTGGATTAATTTTAAGTGACCATCATACCAACAAAAGATTTATAAGGAAATGAAACAAGCACCCACGAGTATGCACAAGCAGCTATTGAAGCAAACACTAAGAATGCAACAAGACATCTTGAAAGTTGAATAAATATGTTATCCTGGAATAACTTTCCTCCAGTTACCCACTTACAGCGTCAAAAACATTTCATACTGACTCCAAAATGCATACAAAAGCAAAACCAGGAGGTTTACCACAAAATGCATACCAAGAAGGGGTTTCTCTATAAAAGTGAAAACTATTTCCAAAGAACTAGGGATTTCCTGTAAGCAGAGCCAAAAATAAAATAATCCTTTCAAGAGAAAAGAAAGAAGTCAAGTTCCTCCACTGTCATGGCAAAGTAAAAGTTCCCTCACTGTCATGGCAAAGTAAAAGTCCCCCCCCCCCCCTTCCCTTCAAAAAATACTTAACCTCACAATTCTCGTAGCGAACTCAACATCAAAACTGTGAGTTCTAACTTCTACAGAATGAAGAAGAATTGACAAAGAGGAATACCCTTGCTAATGCCAGCTGAGAAAAGCATTTTTAAGGTCTGCTAAGATGGGCTTTTTCCTTCACTGTCCTGCTAAATCTTTCAACTTGCTTATTAGGTCAACTTTCTAGAAAAGTAATATATACACATAAACCAGCATTCATTGCCAGGACAAGACTACTGCTATTTTGAAATGAGTTTCGTGACCCATGCCAACATAAACTAGCACATTATTTTTATATTTAGATAAAAACAATGAATTTTAAACCTGTAAAAGAAACATCAGAATCGTAAAAATGTGACAGATTGAAGGAAATCAATCTCCAATCAGCTGATCACTTCTTAAAGGAACAAGTAGCCTCTGCTGCTAACAGAGACGAGTGAAAAACAAATATGTCAGAATTTAGCTTCAATATAGCTTCTCAACAACCTTAAATTTCATTCAATCACTCTCTCTTCTTTCATTCTTCTTCTTTTCCTTTACCCTTTTCTTTCAACACCAGTTGTTGATAAATATAAAACTCCAATAAGCAACTTCAAACAAATGCCATGCTCCTATTGCACCAATTTGACTGATTCCTTAACAATTTTTTTAGCATTAGTGAAATTTTAGAATCATTCCCATAAAAAAACTCAGACTCATTTACTCAAATCACGCAGGAAATTTTGCCCTCCAAGAAAATTTCCTGTTCTCAATTGCTAACTACTCTTTTGACTCAATAAACAAAGGGGGGACAAAGCCATTTTATTTTACTTAACCAGAAAATCACTAACGTTAATGATGCTATTACTATCTCTAGCTTTGCTTTTGTTCATTATATCTGCATGTATAATAAAAATTTATCAAAGTGGCAATAAAGTATAGAAGACAAATCCAAAGATTCATTCAAACCCAAAACCCTAAAACCCTCAGGAAAGTAAATACAAAGCTGAAAAGGAAAACGAACCTCGGTTCGTGAGAAACCAAGGGGCACCAAAAATGATGGCGATGATGGCGATGCCAGCCATCACGTGCTTCTTGTCACCGCTGTACATGTAGTGCTCCATTCTCGCCCTGAATCCTCCGCCTCCTCCTACGCTGCTGCTGCTGCTACCGGTTGTGTTGTTGGTGTTTTTTGCTTCGTTTCCCATTTTGCCCCTAAACCCACCGATTGATTAATTAGAGAGAAACCAAAGCAAGCTAACTCTAGCTGTCTTCTGCTCTCTGCTTCGCTGCTCTTTGGAGGTTTTTAAGGCTTCGCCGCTTCAGTAATTCTCTCGGAGGAGTGTTTGGTTGTTAGGTTAGGATATCTCAGCCAAGTGTGACCTTATGCTGGACAAGCTGGATTTTGTTTGTTATTAAAGTTCTAAAATGAAAAATATGGGTTAAGTTCACCATCATTTTTTTTTTAATTTTTTAATACATTCATTAATATCAATTTTATGTGAACTGTAAAAATGTATTTATGAATTAAAATTATATTAAAAAATAATGGAGAAAATTAAAATAAATGGAATATCTATATATTATTTATTATTTTTTAGTTTTATAGACTCATTTTGCTACTTAAAGGACTATTATATATAAAAAAACGCAAGTTACATAATCATTTATATAACTGTCCAATCTCATGATTACACTCCATGCCGTGTAAATACTCATAAGTTCAAATTGCCACTCTCTTTACTAGTTGCTGCACTCTGTGTAGTTGATGGCTCTCCTTTCTCTAGCAAGAAGGCTCCTAAGAATGCACTCTCAGATCCTATTCCCATTTCTTCTTCAACACCCTGAGACCATTCCCTCATCTTTGGCTTCTTCCTCAATCCAACAACGACATTTTCTTTCTTTGGCATTTCATCAAACATTCTTCATATCCTCTCAAACTCCACTTTTGACCTCACATTTCTCCACTCTCCAATCCCTTTCAGCCCAAACTCTCAACTACCAATTTGAGTTCAGTCCACCACCAATCCATGACCCTGACCCACAGGAACCAGCTCTCCTCCATTTGCTCAAACGGGTCGCCCATTTTAGCTCTGAAGCTGAGGCCATGGCTTCTCTTGATGAATCTGGTATCAAGGCAACTCAAGGTTTGGTGTGCTCAGTGATTTGGAAAATGAGGGAAGAGTGGAGGCTGGCGTTTTTGGCTTTTAAATGGGGTGAGAAATGGGGAAGTAGTGGTGAAAATAGTTATGAGTTGATGGTCTGGGTGTTGGGAAATCATAGGAAGTTTAACATGGCTTGGTGTTTGATTCGTGACTTATATCGTTTTTCGATGGATACAAGACGGGCAATGTTTATTATAATTGATAGGTCAGCCTCCACTTGAGATTCTCTTTTGATTGTTTTAAACTTTGGTTTGGTGGCTATGTTTGTTTAGCATGTAAGTGGTTGTACACCATGGCATGTACTGCAGGTATTCATGTGATCGCTGATTTTTGGATACAATTAATTTTATTTTTTTTTATGAAATTACATGTACAAGTAGAAATTACAACGGCACAATTAGGATCTTTATGAATGTGAATTAAGTTACAAACTTAATTATAACGTTGTTAATAAGCATAAGAGTGATTGTACTGCATTTATTATAAATGTCTCTGTAGCTCCATGTTGCTTCCTACAAAATGTGCTCTTTGCAGGTCAATAAATCAATAATTATATTTGAAGCTTGATGTCAGTGATGACTAAGTGCCTTGTGATATATTTTGTTGTATTCATTCCCTCTTCCCAACCCCTTTCTTCGCTTTTTGGCTGTGTTCTCCTTTATTAATTTCTGTTGATTTAGTAGTGGTTGCATTGATAACTAAGTTCAAATAAGATGTTTTTTGACTCTGATACATGTTTTGAATCTGATTGAAATTGATTGATTCTGTTATAGTTTCACAAATTTATAATTTGCACATTTTTCTCCTTTTGAGTTTTTGTTTCTTAACCACTTAGAAAATTGGTAATTTCTCATTGAATTCGCTGCATTTGGCCTATTAAACTAGTCAGTATTGATATGCTCTGTTGGTGGAATGAGTTCCTTGCTTTATTTATTTATTTATTTTTCTACTTTTCAGCTTTCATTTGCATTATTTTTAAACATTCAGTAGGTAGATTTCCAAAGAAGGGGCTCAAAGCTTCATAGGTTTTCCACAGGACTTACCATTTTATTTTCCATAACTTTATTTCATGACTATTCATGTAAGGTATATCATTCTATGATTTTTTGTTCTTAAATCTGTTTGTTTCTTTTTCCTTTCATTTGGTGTCAATTAGATATGCAGCCGCAAGTGATCCATGCACAGCTATTCAAACTTTCCATACCATGGAGAAGTTCAGAATGACTCCGGACGAAGAAGCATTCAGAACCCTCCTAAAAGCTCTATGTAGATATGGCAACATTGAAGAGGCTGAAGAGATAATGCTTGTAAATAAGAAGCTCTTCCCGTTGGCTGCTGATGGCTTTAACATTATTCTCAATGGTTGGTGTAATGTTTTAGTTGATGTATTTGAAGCAAAGAGAGTTTGGAGAGAAATGTCAAAATATTGCATTATACCAAATGGTACTTCTTATACTCACATGATTTCGTGTTTCTCAAAAGTTGGGAATCTCTTTGACTCACTGCGGCTCTATGATGAAATGAAAAAAAGAGGTTGGAATCCAGGCATTGAGGTATACAATTCATTGGTGTATGTTCTAACTCATGAAAATTGCCTAAATGAAGCTTATAACATCCTCAAGGAAATGAAAAAAGCTGGGTTGCAGCCAGATTCGGCCACTTACAATTCAATGATACGTCCTCTTTGCGAAGCAGAAAAGGTTGAGGAGGCAAGAAATATTTTATCCACCATGAAAGAAGAGAATCTTAGCCCAACCATTGAAACCTACCATGCATTTCTTCATGGTGTTGGTTTTGAAGGAACATTGGAAGTTCTTAACCATATGAAGATTGCCAGTTTAGGGCCGACTGGTGATACCTTTATCTTTGTTCTTGGTAAGTTTTTCAAAATGGAGCAACCTGAGCATGCATTGAAGATTTGGGCAGAAATGAAGCATTTTGAAGTTCTTCCTGATTCAAGTCATTACATAGCATTAGTGGAAGGGCTAGCATCATCCGGATGGTTAGTTGAAGCCAGGGAATACTATGATGAGATGAGATCCTGTGGATTTTTGGACGATCCCAAGCTTAAGAAGATATTGGAGGAACCAAAGCAACACAGTGGCAGTAAGAGACAGAGGGGTCCAAAAGAGATTAAGAAAAGTAAGCAATTAAATGCATGGAAAGGAAAGAAAGTAAGACGAAAAAAAAAGGTCAATGCCAATGAAAAATGAAGAAGGCAACAGAAAACGGTTCTATTTTAAAGTCTAAATGTACAAAGGTGAAAATTTCTTTGCTTTTTTATTTTTGAAAATTGAAGGTTGACAATTGCATTTCTACCATTTGGGGATATTGTCTGTTCCCTAGCACATTAGAAGCTACTGGTGGTGTATTTTAAGTAGGTGGAGTCTCTGAAAGGGATACTGCTGCCATTCATCAGATGCAGAAAGGGGGGGTTGAAAGTGGTTAGCTGTGTGGTTCTGGTCAGGGATGGCAATTTCTTCGATTGATGATATAAGATCTTTAATCCATTAGAAATTCAACCATATCTTGATGAAGCCTAAAGAAAAGAGTTCCAGAATTGATGTTAATAAAGAGGTATGCAATTACATCATTGGAAGCTAAGAACAGCATGATAGCACGTGAAACTATAGGCACTCATAATTTGTACTGGTCTGCTCACTATTACAGTAGGGATGATAACCATTTTTGCACTTGAGAAACAAACAATTAAAACCAGGGTGATTGGGTTGTTCAAAATGACTTGATTGCAGAATGCTTCCAACTAGAAATAATGATTGTTATAACAAGTAAAAAACATGTAGCCATTCTCCTCTTGGTGAAAGTTAAACATTGCCATTGGCTTCAAGAAATGGATAATCAGTGTAACCTATGACTGGATCGGATGTGTAGAAAGTATTCCTGTTGTACTTATTAAGAGGGCCACCAAGCTCAAATCTCTTTGGCAAATCTGGATTGGCCAAAAACAAACGACCGTAAGCAACAAGATCCGTGCGGTTTTCAGCCACAGCATTGTTTCCATCATCTCTGCCATAACCCCCGGCAGCAATGAAAGTGCCATTAAAAGCCTTTTTCATAGGCAGAAGACTGTGAGGACATTCACGTACTTCTCCCCCCATTTTCATTCTTGGCTCCACCATATGGCAGTAGAGAATTCCATATTTGTTCAAGGCGTCAACCATATAGAGGCCTAATGCTTTTGGATTAGAGTCCCCTGACTCCATGAAGTCTGCATAGGGAGATAATCTTATTCCAACTTTACCTGCTCCTATTTCGTTCACAACAGCTTCAACTATTTCTAAGGCAAACCTGCAACGGTTTTCTAGTGATCCGCCATATTGGTCTGTTCGATCATTCACTTGATCTTTCAAAAACTGGTCTATCAGGTAGCCATGAGCTCCATGAATCTCAACTCCATCAAAACCTATAAATCAGCAAGAAAAATTAGCATGTAAAGAAAGTAAAAACATTTATATTTTAGAGAATGTAATAATCCTAGATTTTTTGTTCACAATCTAGAAAAGAAGTTACCAGCTTCTATAGCATTCCTGGCTGCAATTCTGAAATCATTGACAATTTGAGGGATTTCATCTGTCCTTAATCGCCTAGGAGGCGAGAACTCTGCAACATCTACTCCACTAGACCGAATTTGTGGTTTCAATGGCTTATCAGTAGAAGAGATTGGAGCTTGTCCATTTGGCTGAAAATCTGTAAACATTTATAAATGATAAAAGATTAGATGTGGTCAATGCCATCACATGGATATCAGAAGAAAGCACATATAGACCATGCTATCTGGAAATAGAAATTATAAAACACTGTAAATCTTGATCCTTAATTAAAAAAAAAAAAAAAGACTGAAATTAGCTACGTAAGCAAAATGCCAATGAAATTCCAGTCACCACCCAATAGAAGACAAGAACTCACCTTTATTCGAAACCCTTCCAACATGCCAAATCTGACAGAAGATAATTCCACCTTTGGCATGAACAGCATCAACAATGGGTTTCCAGGCCTCCACTTGTTCTTTTGTCCAGATACCAGGTGTATCCGCATACCTTCACATTGAGAAAAAATTTCAACTTTTTTGCACTATATGGATATATATTCTCTTTTCAATTAAAAAGCAAAACATGTTTAAAAAATTACCCTTGAGCTGTGTCAGAAACTCCAGTAGCCTCAGTTATCATAAAACCCCCTCTAGAAGTTCTCTGGGAATAGTATAGAATGGCATGTGGTTGAGGAACATTGTTGTATGATCTTTGTCTAGTCAATGGTGCCAATACAACTCTGAAAGAGAACAAAGTGATGCACTTAGTCAGCCAATTACTACTCTTTTCCTAATGAACAAGCACATTAAAGTTATACATGCAAACTGGGATTTTCAAATAAACAACAATTTGCTGATTTGGGAATGGGGATTTCCAAAAATTATACAAATATATGATGGGAAATATAGAGTTAGAAGAATTCAAAACCTCGGATATTGAAAACTGAGAAAAAAAATTACGAAGAAAAGAGTGGGTTTTATTACCTATGAGAAAGATTGAACTTGCCAAGTTTGTAGGGAGTAAGAAAAGGTTGAGTGGTGAGATTTTCCATCTATGTAAATGGGTTTTACTTGTTTCTGATTGTAAGAATAAATAAATGAAGTTTGGTTTTGGTAAATGAAGTTTGGCTTTGGTTTTGGTTTTGGAAACTTGCAGAATGGAATCGTGGGAATGGGGGTATATATAGCTTTTGAATGGGCTTTCGATGACGAGAGAGAGTACGTGAGCACTCTCATGTGTCATGTCATTGATTTGCTGGGTTTCACCTTCATTTCGTTTGGCACGCCCCTCTTGACCTGATTCAATAGATCGTTATGTTCATTTAATCGATACTGGGATTATAAAATATGACCTCTTTTTTAAAAAAGAAAATCAAATCTTATTCGCCCATCTAATCCAGTAAATGTGACGACCAACGTAATTCATGAGATATGCATTCCCAGTGGCCGCCACAACAGCCAGCTGCCGCTGGCTGACCATACCATAACATATGATTAAATTATTTTATATTTGAACTGACCATAAAATGTCCATTTATGACATTATTTTTATCAACTAAAAAATATAATTATAATTAAGATTTTGACTTAACAACAAAGTATTCATAAAATTTTAAAATTTTAAGTTTTAATGCATATGGGTTTTGTTATTGAATTATGTTTTAATTGGTTAATTAATATTTAATAATTGTAAATTAAATAAAAAATTTATTAATATATAATATATAAATAAAATGTTAATATATTATTTTTATCCACTTGCTCTGACTTTTTTTAAAAGTAAAACCAGACCCATTCTGCCTAACTTTCTATTTCCAAAAATAAAATTAACCCATATCAAATAATGGAAGTCGAAATTCATCATATATGAATTTTATTGCCATTCTAATTAAAGCCAGCGAAACTCGTATTGAGGCAAGGCCATTCAACGCCTCCTCTCCTCACACAAGGAAACCAGAAAGTCAAATGCCCACCTCCTAGCCAACACTTAATGGGCTTAATAGCCGGCAATTGTAGGCCCACAAATGAACGTCCATAATGGCAGGAGCCACCTACAAGTTGAGTTAGTACATGGACAGGTTTTGATTCGTTCGGATTAGATCAGAATTATTTAAAGTTATTTGAAATTTAAATTTTTTTAGATTTAAAGTTTGATTTTCATATTAATCATGCTATTTTTTAAAATTTATAGAAGTATAACTATTATAACATATTTTTGAAATTTAAATTCAAATAATTTTGAATTCGAATGATTCAAAATTCAAATTATTAATTATTTTATCAAATCATACTTAATTGAGTTTAAAAATTTTGTTAACCAAAGTTTTGAATAAGTTCATTTTACACCTTTAATATAAATATAATTCAGATTCATTCTGCCATCTTCTCTGCCCACAAACATGCTGTTCAAACATTTTTATTTGGCTTACTTTAACACCTAGGATATAAATAATGGAAGCAGAGATGAATGGAAATTGGAAAAGGATTAGTATTTTCTGGGGATTAAATGATGGAGAATGATTGTTCATATTTGGATTCAAACCCAACGGAAAAGGGACCCACCCACGCCACATAAAATTATTTTTGGAATCCCGAGGCAGCAGCACTAAGCTCCACTCCATCGCTCCGGGACTCCAGCTAATGTTGTCCGGTCAAGTGTGGTGAAAAAAAACACAAGTATGCTTCTGGTTCTGTGATATCTTCGTCGGCACCACTTGTTTCTTCTCCAGTACCCAAGAAAAAAGAAACAGAAATCAAAAGGAAAGAGGGTAACTAAACCCAACTGCTAAGCACCAATTAACTGAGCAACAATGTGGATCTCAACCTCAAATCAGCTGCTATTGCTGTGCTTCGTTCTCATCTTTGGCACTGCCACCGCCACTGACCACATCGTTGGTGCTAACAAAGGCTGGAACCCTGGCATCAACTACACTCTTTGGGCCAACAACCACACCTTCTATGTGGGAGACCTCATCTGTACGCTCTCTCTCTCTCTCTTACTATCTGCTTTTGTATTTGTAGCTTTGTTTTCCATTTTATTGTTTTTCAGATAAGAGAAGGGAAAGATGGGTTTTTCTAAATAAAACCCCACTAAATAATCATGGGTACTAACTACTGTGAAATGCAAAACAGTGGTTTTGGAGTAATACAGATGTACTCATCTATCCTGAATGTGCTGCCTCTTCAATTTCCCCTACTTATTTGTGAATGTTAATATTAGATCTAGTTTGAATACCCAGTTTACTTGCCTTCAGCTTTTGAAGTCCAAAACCCTGGCTTACAGTTTTTGCTTCTTTTAGACGATAAAAGATAGATGAAGTATAATTATGAGCAAAATTTTAAGTAGTAGCTAATATGCTTTAGTCTTGACTTTTGCCATGAGGATCTTAGCAGTATTCAAAGTGCAGAGGGGCACATGACACTTTATCTCCTAATGCAAATCTCTCATGATCTTCCTGGCATTTGACATTAGACATGATCTCTTTGTATTTTGAGACTGGCATAGCCAGAAGCTTCTTGTTTCAAGTATGATCTTTACTCTGCTGTTCTTTGCAGCCTTTAGGTATCAAAAGACACAATACTATGTGTTTGAAGTGAACCAAACTGGGTATGACAACTGCACAACGGAAGGAGCATTAGGAAACTGGAGCAGTGGCAAAGATTTTATACTTCTCAATGAAACCAAGAGATACTACTTCATTTGTGGCAATGGCCAGTGCTTCAATGGCATGAAGGTTTCTGTCCTTGTTCAGGCCCTGCCTTCACCAACTGCCTCACCTGTTGCCAACCATACATCAAACAGCTCGGATGCTGCATCCATAGTTTTGCCAAGGGGTGTGGTAGGTTTAAGGGCCTTGATTGTGGCATTAGCTTCAATTTGGTTTGGATCTGGGTGGATCTAGCAGGAGTTCAGTTGGTTGTTCAAGCTTAGTAAACTGCATTTTTTGAATTTCTAAAATGTAACATTTCTTTTGCGTGTTTCTTCAATTGTTTTTCTTAATTATGTAGCCAAATTGGGTGGTGTTTCATTGATGTAAGTGATCTCAACTTGAATTCTCACTAATTTGCCTCTTCTCTTGGCTGCCTGACTGTCTCTTTTCATCTTATTACTATTATTTATCTCAACTTCGATGCAACTGCAAGCCTGCAAGGCCAGATTTTTAATCAATATAGCTTGCACTAACTCATGTGAAGTGTTTTTTTGGCCATACCCATTGGTAAGTTTCCTCTATAGAAAGGTATGATACGGCCAGATATAGTACTGGGTACTCTTTTGATTCTTCACTCTCCCCTTCCCTCCCCTTGTGCTGATTTTTAGCAACCAATGAGTTTGACATGTAAAAATTTAGAGGGTAGGTTTTTTTAATCTCTCAATTATCATGATAAAAAACTTAAATAATTGGCTTTGTGAACTAATGATTTGCATTTACCTTGAGCTAGATCCTTTGACGTATGCCTGAATTGATGTTTGTTATACACAGTTGCATCAAGGCAAAGATGACTGACCAGTTGCATAAATTGCCTAAACCAAACTTTTTCTATGTGGACGTTGGTAGACTTGTCAATTTAAATACGATATGGTTATATGACAAAAAAATCATATGAAAAAAATATAAAGATAACATAGTTTAAAATTTAAATAAAAATCATATATGAATTTAATATAAATCAAAAAATATATTTTATATTTTTCGAATCGATATAAATCAAGATACACAATTTTTATATAAAATATAATACGAATACATAAATTATTAATATTTTATATTATACAAATACAGTAATTGTCAAATCTACACATAATTGACATACATCCAAAAAATGTTTGTTGTTTGCTGAAAATATGGTTTTGGAATAGATAATACTGACTTCATTTTAGGGTTATCTATATCCAATTTCGAACCTGCCGAGAAACAGCTTTTAATTCCTACACGACATTGGGGCCATTGTACATCTGTCCGACTCATCAAAAGATGGCATTGCGAAGTTAAACCATTAATGAACTTTCAGAATGGTCGAACCTATGGAAACTATGAAAGCTTTGAGGTCCCTGGTTTTTTTGTTTTTTTGGCCTAAGAGAATGAAGTCCTAATACTGTGGTATGAATTAGTCATTAGCTCCAGGCCATGATCCTCATTACGAATATGGTTTATGTGGTATCAATTGCCAATAAACAGAAACCAAAAAATTAAAAGCAGCGATCATCTCTGCCTCCAAGGAATGAGTGGTGAATTAAAAACATCTGAAGTCAAATTTGTTTAAAGCTGGTGGACCAATACAAATTAAATATGGTATTGCAGAAGCAGAAGCTTTCCATTAGTGCACCAAAATATTCAACACCAAAACTCAAGGGCATTGCCTTTGTCCTCATTATAGTGAGACCTCGTTCATAGGAAAACATTAAATGCGGAGTTTTGAATCTTCCATTCTTGTCATTTTCTTGAGCCACCAGCTGGATATAATCTGTTAAATATTTGTTATCTAGTGAAAAAGAGTGGTCTTGCACCGAAATGCTCGTCTTAAAACTATGACCCAACCGCAGAATCTAGCAGAGAAGGGAGGGACAGTACTAAGTAGCTTCCAGAAAGACCCCATGCTTCCAGTTTTCAAACTATGCCACAGGAAGTGAAACAGGTTATGTATTCCAGGAAAACTCATATATACTAATTACCATTGAAGATTGAGGAAATGGGTTCATGTATCCACTAATAACTGGGGGCCTCTCTTTCATGTATGTGACCAACGGGCCAATCGATTCTCCTACCAAATCAAGCTATAATTACAACTTCAGATTTGGTATCTGGGGATCTAAAGCTGCATATGGGAAATACCGAACACGAAAACTTACCAGATGCATTTGGTAGAGAAAGATCTTCACTTTAGGCATCAATATATGCATCAAGTTAGTAGAAAAGATAGTGGAAATCATTCATATAATATACATACATGATACAACATAATCATCTAGTACAGAGCTTCAGTCCCCATTTACGTTTTGAAGTAACAGCATCCAATTATCTCTCCTACATTACACTCACCAGTTACCAAAACCTCAATTTGACAGCAAAAGCAGAAGCAAAACTGAAAGGTTAGTAAAAACTACTCTGCATTGGCCTTCTGTTTTCTCCTTGATCTGCTGTATAATTTAGAAGGTGGAGACGGAGAAAACTCAAATGGGATTGATGGGAGATCCATCTCCCCTTTCAAAATCCTTACAATCTCCCCAATATCTGGCCGCAACTCAGGCATTTTCTGCAGGCAACTAAGTGCTAAATTAATGCACAAGCTAGCATGCTCCTTATCATACTCGTCTTTCAATCTCTCATCTACCAGTTCTAATATGTTTCCGGATTGAGCTAATTGCCTACACCAGCTTATTAAGTTTGCCTTTTCAAGCCTCATAGGTGAAGCAAGAACATGCAATGGCCTTCTACCGGACACAATCACAAGGATCAAAACTCCTAAACTGTAAATATCAGCCTTCTCCATCATGTAGCCACACCCACCATACTCTGGTGCAACATAACACAAAGTCCCTCTCATGCTTGTTGTGCTGCTTAGCTCACGACTAAAAAGATCCCCACTCCACATGTCACTTCCAATGGAATTATTGTTCTTTCTCCTCCACCCCCTTCTAAAACTGAACTCTCCATTTGCATCACAGTCATCTTGATTGGGTTCCCCAAACTTCTTGCTCCCGTGAAAATAAAACCGCCTTCCCAAATCAAAATGCGGCAATTTAAATCCTTCCTTCCACTTTGTCTTAAGCTGCTTCAGCTTACTATCCTTCTTGCTTATCTCACCAAAATGCTCTTCTTTCCACCATTCTTGCATCTTCCTATTTCTTCTTTTCCTATTTTTTCTTCCTTTTGGTTCTTTCCTCTCAAAACCCTTATCCAAAGATTCAAAGCCAAGTCCTCGTATTTGACGTTCATTAACATCTTCTAACTTATCCAACCGAGTTGAATTGTCCAACTCGATTTTCTCAGGAATGGTCTTTTTCTCATCATCCCAATCAGGATTTGATGATGGACATATCTGGCTCCCAATCCACTCCATAACATAATCCTTACTACACAATTCACCACTCCCATCCTGCCTCCACCACCAATCCTTTCCCCATTGTTTCATACCTGCCGCTTCGTCAGCAGCCAAATTAGCACTAGAATTCAACTCCTTACCATGATCAATACTACCGAACTCATCATCATAAGGCACAAACTTAGCATTCCAATCATCCCCACCAGTATCCACACTGGTAACCTCCTTCCCTTTTCCATTATTCCCAGCCTTACAATCTGTCTCACTAGCTAAGTTAGCATTGTAATTGAAAGAATTTAAATTCAGAGCCCTGACATTATAACATTTTTTACTATTTTTTGAAGAAGAAGAAGCTTGTAAGGCAAGTGCAAAGTCTACCTCAGTGTTGTTACTCTCCACAGGAGTCCCAATAGCTGGAGTCTGCTCACCAGTAGTTCCTCCTAAATTGCCAGATAACTCTTGGCTCTTCCATAGCTCTTGACTCCTCCCTAAATCTTGACTAAACAAATCCACTCCAAATTCACCCTCCACCTTAATTCTTGACAATCCAAAATCTGAAATCTTTGCTCTATAATCAGAATCAAGCAACACATTGCTAGGCTTAATATCTCCATGAATCACTGGCGGATCACAACCAAAGTGAAGAGATTCAACAGCTTTAGCAACATCAAGGATAACATCAAACCTTCTTTGCCAATTCAAGCTCAACTGACCATCTCCAAAAAGTGATTCTTGCAAGCTTTTATTTGGCATATACTCGTAAACAAGTAAGCGCCTACCTTTTTCAGCACAATAACCCAAAAGGGTAACCATAAAAGGTGATCTTAACCCACCAAGAATCTGCAACTCATTTTGAAACTCTCTCTCAGTTTGCAAAGAAAGAGTATCAAGCCTTTTGATGGCAAACAGTTTGCCATCTCTGGCAATGCCACGAAAGACAGTACCTGAACCACCTTTGCCTATGATATTTGCATCATTGAAATCATTGGTAGCATTCTTTAACTCCTTGTAACAATATCTTTGGAGCTTAAGGGGGGCACTAGAGTCAAAAGGGATGGTTCTAGCTCGGTTTGAAAAAGAGTTCCAAAGATGGTAAAGAAAGTAAATTATTGTAAAGAGAATAACAGCTGAAGATGAGATAGTTAAGATCAAGAATATGACTCTTGTTTTGTTGATGAAACTTGGCCTTGGTAGGTTGGGACCTGGAGGTAAAGGCCTTGAAGGCATGGTTTTTTTTTTTTTTTTTTGAACCCTCTTTCTTGTAGTTTCAGCTTCTGGGTATCTCAAAATTTCTTGGTTTGGTCACTAGATTTGGTGAAGTGAAGAAAAAGTTGGAAATGAAAATAAGGAAATGGGGTTCTTTTTCTTTCTTTGTAAATATTCATTTCATTCATCCCTGTATCCAATGTGAGGTTGCTTTACAGATGGATGATGAGAGGAAAATCTGATAATTTAAGTTCAGTGTTTGGTTATTAATGACTTTGACAAATTTTTAATGTGATTTGTTTTTTAATTTCCAATAGTGATTGGGAGATGGGAGGATTATGAAAAGGAGTAAGGAGGGTCCCAAGGAGCTTTTGGGGTTTGACTAAAGGGAACGTTTTATGCAGATAAAGTCATCCCTAAGGCTAAGGGGAAAAAAAAAAAAAAAAAAAGGAAAACAATACAGATAAAGAAAATAGGGGGAATACGGATTACAAAGATGATTTAAGGTAAAGTGTTTTAAAGATGGTTTTCCTCACGCGCCATATTTCGCCCGTGTCTACGTGAACCCAAACTTCCCTACGATGTCTGGTTTCCAGCAGTTCGGTTTGTGTCTGATCTCAAACTCAAAAGTTCCATTGCATTATGTTGGAGGCTTGGAGCTGGATTCAAGCAATTTAGTCTCCAGATACCAAGAAATAATTTTCAAGTTTTTAATGATAATTTATAGATTAAATTAATGGAGGACAAATTATAGATTAAATTAACCATTGTGATTGTAAAAATCATTAGACAATTTGATTATTGTCAAGTTGTTGGTAAAACTGAAAGGTTTCTATTATTTTGATAATCATTGAAATATTGAAAAGATGAAAATTGACTGGAATTAATTAACACCCTTTATAGATAATCTCTATGCTATTTTAAGTAAATATGACATCGTTTCTTTCACTCCTAAATTTTAATCTTAATTATAGAAAGGTCATTGCAACATCCTTATCCAATTAATGATCCTTCAATCCTAA